ATGCCGGACAGTGCAGTTTCTCCCCGAATGTGTCTGGGTCCCCCAGAGCCTCACCTGGCACTGGAGCTCAGAAGAGTGGGAACTTGGAAGTTCAGTTTGTGGTGCTGGCCTTTTAAAAGGAACAGCTGGGTCTCCAGCAGCCTGTGTCCCTCAGCCCTAATCTGCACTGGCTTTTACAGTCTGTAGTTCTTACTGCCTATAGCGACTTCTTTCCCCAGCTCTGGGACCCTAGGCTGGAGGTCTGGTGTGGGGCTGGGACCCCTTGCTCCTCCAGAGGCCATCTCCCTCCCGATTAAGAAAGTGGCCCATGTGGGTGCAGGACCAGCCTGCTCCGTGTCTCTGCACCTCCTACAGTTTCAGTGTGCTTTCTTCTTTACCTCTCTAGTTTTAGGACTTCCATTCGGCCAGCTTCTGGTGGTTCTAGGTGATGGTTGTTCTGTATTTTAGTTGTAATTTTTATGTGGTTGTGGGAGGCAGCAGCTACAGGCATTTACTTATGCTGCCATCTTGGTTCTCTCACTTTGTTTCACTTTTTAAAAAGTCCAGAGTGGCGTTTCTTTTCTTTAAAAAATATTTTTATTGATTTCATAGGAGAGAGAGAAACATCAATGATGGGAGAGAATAATTGATCGGCTGCCTCCTACAAGCTCCATCCACACTGGGGATCGAGCCGCAACCTGGGCATGTGCCCTGACCCAGAACTGAACCATGACCTTCTAACTCATAGGTCGATGCTCAGCCACTGAGCCACTCCAGCCCAGCCAGAGGGGCACATCTCAAACTTACTTTCCTCCTTTTAATGACAATCCCTGCCATAGAATGTTCGCTGTTACTGATCGGGGGTACCTCACTCCTAAAGGGCTCGGGTAGAAAAACGGCTGTTCTAAGATTCAGGTACAATAAAACATTGGCTCCTGTGGTCTGTATGTATCATGTATAGAAGTCCAACTCTGATTTTTAAAAATTCCAGAAGTTCAGCAGGGACCAGTTTGGCTCAATGGATGGAGCGTCGGCTTGGGGACTGAAAGGTCTCGGGTTCGATTCCGGTCAAGGGCATGTGCCTTGGTTGCGGGCATATCCCCAGTGGGGGGTGTGCAGGAGGCAGCTGATCGATGACTCTCTCTCATCGATGTTTCTAGCTCTCTCTCTCTCTCTCTCTTCCTCTTTGTACAAAATCAATAAAATATATTAAAAAAAAATTCCAGAAATTCAGAATATTTGAAAAAATGTATCACTTTATTTGTACACTTAAAAAGTTGTACGCAGAAATTTATTCTGTAAAACTGGAAGAACTGTCAGGGAAAAGGAAGGGTGTTACCTTTTATTGAATGCTCATTAATGAAGTTAACAGAAAAAACACAAAAACAATAAAATGTTTAAAAAAATTAAAGAACATTTTCCAGGTACAAATTTTATAAATACAAAACAAATTCACAAATTAACTCTGAATGCTAAATAAATATCTAGTTAATAAACTCAGACTTAATACCTCTAGCCAGCACTGGTCCAGCACTTCAAGGATATAAAATTAGATTCATTCATGTGTAGTGTTGAAAGAATGTGCTCATTAAAAATTTTTAGACATATACACCTTTTCCCCCCTGTGCTATAAATAGAAGATTTATCTGTATAGATAAATCTCTCTTAATACCACATGTCTAAGAAAAGTCATCAATGACAAAATAAATCACAGGTAAAAAAATATTTTCCAAGATATTGGGACACATGAATGATCTCAAAATGTACAAAAACCTCTGTAAACCAGTACTGTATCCAATACATCTGTCAAACTTATCAGATACTGAACAAAACTGTAGCAAAGGAAATCTTTCCTACATTCTCCTGAGTGCTTAATATTAAAATTGAGAATATAGTGCAGGCCACACTTCAAAGTGGTCAATCAGTTGTTATTGCTTTACACATACATATATGTCTGCTTTGTAGCATGATTTAATATTCTATTTCACGAACAGTTTGTTTTCCTCATATATATCCTTTAGAAGGACGAAGTTAGATTCGTGACTTTTTTGTAGCTGGTGGAGTGCTAACTTGATCCACGTTCCCAGGTGAGACGTGAAGTCCAAGTTTCTGAGCCTGAATATGGAAGAATGCTTGAAGCCTCGTTCCAGCCTTTGCTTCACTTGTGTTACGAGGGTTGTACTCAAAGCAGTTTGAAAACATTAACTCAATATCATCAATAAACTCAGCTGGAAAGAAAAACACAAATGAGATTAGAATGAAGGTTTATTAACGTCTAAGCCTTTTATTTGTGTCATATCTAGAAATGCCATTAAGAAACACAAGCTCACCTTTTTCTTTAGAAATTGAAAATAAGGTAGCAGAATGAAAGCTTAAAACTCTTTAACTACAAATACTTTAAAACTGTTTTATTGAAACTACGCAATTAGGCATAACCGAATAGTTTTAGTAAATAACTTCTGTTAAGAATCATAGTCTATAAAATATCTTTAACTCACTTAAACCTCATCCATCTTTCTTTTCCATATACATGGATAAGCATTTGAGAGATCTCTTGGGATGCCATCTACACAATTACGTTAATATGTCATAACGGCAGAAAGAAAAATAGCCTCTACCTCTTTAAACACAAATATAGAGAAACAAACAAATTACTTACATGCTAATTTATATTCACATTTGTTCACCTTTTCACGAATTATATTTAAGGCAATGGGTTTTTTGATGATGTCGTAATAATCTGGAACCTGTAAGATAATTCAATTATTATCTCTCCTATAAAAAGTTTATCAGAAATAAGTGGTCAAATACATGAAGGTTTTACACTGAAAAGCATCTGCATTAACTGCTAAATTCTATTATTTCATTAAAACCATATAATACATTTTAGTCATTTAATGCTGTAGGAGCCTATTTGATACTATAAAAAGCTAATTTATTATGAAAAATTATAGTTTTATGTGCTTTCTGTCTCTATATACTTAACATATATGCACTTATAAAAATTTCTTTAGTCTGGCCAGTGTGGGTCAGTAGTTGAGCATTAACCCATAAAACAGGAGGTCCCCAGTTCCATTCTCCAATCAAGCGCAAGTTTGGGCTTGATTCCCTGCAGGAGGCAGGTGATTGATGTTTCTCTCTATTTGATGTTTCTATCTCTCTATTCCACTCCATTCCTCTCTAAAATATCAATAAAAACATATAAAATATTTAATTAGTATTACTGCATTTGTAATAAACAAAAATATGTATGCAACAAAACTTAATTCAGCACAAGAACTACTCAGGAAAAATGAGTTAAGAGTCAAAATGAGTGCTGGCTGATATGGCCCAGTTGGCTGGGTGTTGTCCCAGGTGCCAAAGGTGCCAGTTGAATTCCCAGTCCGGGCACATGCCTGAGTGTAGGCTCGATCGCCAGCAGGGGCCAATAGGAGGCAGCCAACCAATGTTTCCCTCCCACGTTGACGTTTCTCTTTCTCTCCCTTCTAAAAATCAATTTAAAAATAACTTAAAAAAAGAGTCAAACTGAGATTAAATTTTATGAGATGCTATTCGTTGTTAACTAATACTTTACATTCTTTAAAAAGAAAAATCTATGTAAATATTGTTTATTACTGAGCCAATTAGTATTCTTGATGTCAGATATGTTATTCTTCACTTCTGTCTGGTTCTGGTTAATGGTCTCTATTTCCTTTTATATGTTGCTATACTTCTCACTGAGTTCCTTGTAATTTGCATTAAGCTCCTTAAGCACCTATATAACCATTACTTTGAACTTTATGTCTGATAGGTTGCTCGCTTCCATTTCATTTATTTCTCTAGAAAAAATTCATTCTTTTCTTTCATTTGGGGGTTGTTTCCTTGTCTCCCTATTTTAGGTGTCTGTGTGTTTGCTTCTATGTGTCAGATAGAGCTGTTATGCCTCCCGGTCTGTGTGGGACGGCCGTATGTAGAAAGTGTTGAGGGGCCCAGTGGTGCAGTCTCTGTACGCCTGAGCTGGATGCTCTAGGATTTCCCCTGTGTACATTATTTGGGCTCTATTATAATTGGGACTTGATGTTGAGGTTCCATTTGTGGGAGGAATCCCCTCTAACTCGCTGCCAGTGAGGTTCAACCCATACATGGTTGTGCCAGCTATTATATAGGTGCTGACAGAACAGAATTAAGACATAAGAGGAACAAACCAAAAACACCACAAAAATTAAGCTACTCAATGCAACAACAGGAAAGACTATGAAGGAAAAAGAGAAATCAAAGCAAGGAAAAAATAAAAAGAATACTGAAAGACGGGTGACCAAAGACTCAGAGGGGATACTAAAACAAAGGAAGAAAATGAAAAAATGACACATGGAAGGAGGAAGCTAAAAAAAAAAAGAAAAAAAAAGGAAACAGAAAATAAATGAAATGATAATGATTTTAAAATGAAGTAATAATGGGTATATTATGATATAGATAAAAAAAAGTAAAATGGAAATAAAATGAGAAAAAATAAAAATAAAATAAAGTAAGAAAAATTAATAATAGTAATGAGAATAGACTGAAGCCGAAATTGGTTTGGCTCAGTGGATAGAGCGTTGGCCTGAGGACTGAAGGGTCCCAGGTTTGATTCCGGTCAAAGGCATGTACCTTGGTTGCAGGTACATCCCCAGTGGGGGTAGGGGGTGCTGGAGGCAGCTGATTGATGTTTCTCTCTCATCGATGTTTCTAACTCCCTATTCCTTTCCCTTCCTCTCTGTAAAAAATCACCCAATGAATGCATAAATATATGGAACAAAAAATGATGTTTTTCTCTCTCTCAAAATCAATAAATAAAAATACCGAAAAAAGAAATCAGTCACAGAGTTAGAAAAGACTGAGGAGACTATGCTAACTCCATTTTTTAAAAATATAGAGACCAACTTTTCAAGTGTTCAAAAAAAAAATAAAAATGCAGTGATTAAAAGGTGTTTGGACTATCTCAAAACTATAATGTAGATTAAATAATGTACAGGAACACATTTTATAAAGTCTAAAAATATTACCTGGATTTTAGAAACGAGTTTCAAAAAAGGCCAGCTGTCATCATGCCGTACCAATTCTACAACAAGTTGTTCAAAAGCAGACAATTCATGAACTCCTCCCTGTCTGCCTGAACTTCTTCGATTCAGTGTCACAGGAGATGATTCTAAATAAATAATTAATTTTAGGTAATGACAAAGCAAAATATTTGATCACTACAAGCTAAACAGGGCCTATAAATACAAACTAAATTTAAACAAACAAAATGACATTATACACTGAGATGATCAACTAACTTACATTTTGAGATATAAAAATCTGGACCTTTTTGATCTTAAAAACTTCAAATTGAACTAAAAATTCAGTGGGAATAGATTGAAAAATGAGTGTAATACAAAAGAAAATTCTAAAACACAAAGTTTGTGGATTTTTTACTGTTCTATTAAAAATGTTTTCAACTACAATAAGATAACAGTAAGCAATTCTGCAGTATTTCATAAAACATATCAATTGGAAAGTTGCCTCTTCAGATCTGGAAATTAGGCTTCTTTAAATCTTAATTTTATATGGAGAAATTTTTTAAAGCAAGATGCTTTCTCATAAAATCTAATTATATACTAAATTGAAATCTAAAGTATATGAATTAGTAGAAAAGGTTAGTAGTACAGTCCACATATGAATTCAGGTGTTTAAATTCTCTACTTAAATGTAAATCCACACATTCCCTCTTTATTTGTCCTTAGAAACAGGACAGTGATTTCACAAATCAATAACAATACAAATTTTTTCAGCGGTGTTTCTAAATAAAAATAGTTCAGGTTTACTAGTTTGAAGTTCAGATTCAGGGAAAGGCAAAACAGATAAAGGGATAAAAAAGCTAAATTAGATTTTGGTGCAAAGTTACCTGATACTCCCCCCCGCCCCCCAAACCTGACAACATGTAGACTAATTATAACCCATTTTTCACCAATAAATTCTTTACTCCTGTCACTGTTCCAATAATGCAATACAACCTGTCTACACAATTCTTCAAAGGATAATAGCATTTTTTGTTTCACTTCATTTTTTTGAAAATAAAGTTTTATTACCACTGACATTAAAGAAAAAAGATAAAATTAAATAAATAGATAATTATATGGATAAAGATTACTATAAACAATTATTAGAATTAGACAGATTGTGATCACTCTAATAATATTACTGCCCCCAACTTTCTACTGCCCCAATTAGATAGGAAGCTTAACAACCTAATGTAGCTTGTTTAGATGATAACGAGTATGTGTGTTTTGAGGAGGAAAAGGTGGAAGAGAATGAAATGTGTCATAATGTGGTATCTTGAGATTGTTCAAATATTGGCCAAGTATCTCCATTAGCAAATTTCTCACAACTACCCTGCTATGCTAGTAGAAATACTGGTAATACAGTTCATCTTTATGCTCCAAATAGCTGCCCCTTCAATGAATATTATGCCTCAGGGAAGGCTGCTTCCTGAAAACTTTGTATATCTTAGTGACAGCCTTTAAGAAATGATCCAAAGTATCCCAACACTTAATCTTCCCAAATATTCAATTTTCTTAGGTAAGAATAGTTTAAATTAGACTTCTTCATACCTGCAGATTGTCTTTTCCTGCCTCTTCTCTTGGATTCACTATCTTGGAGAGAAAGTTTTGAAGCAACATTTAGAGATCTTGACTGTCCACTTGACTTTGTGGCAATGACTCTGAAGTTAGGCAAGTTAGGGCTATTTTCTGGTGTATTAGCACTTGTCCTGCCTCTGCGTTTTCTACGAGGACTAAGTAGTTCCACAAATACATCTGCTTGCAATGGACCATGACTCTGGCGAGTAGAACGACTAGCAATTCTTAAAGATTTAGTTACTGTAGGAGGAGCAGACTTTATCTTCCTTAGGCTTCTACTAGGAGTTTTAGAAGAAACAGATGTTTTGGGTGTACTCTGCTGACTTCTTGAAGTATATCTTCTAGGATCTTGTTGGCCACGACTTGAAAAAGAAGAGTTAAGTTTGCCTCTTGTTTTAATTGACAATCTAACTTGTGGTCTTCCTCGTTTTGGTGGGCTATAGTTAGAAAACACGATTATTATATACAGCAATATGAATGTACAATTACTTCTATTCCCCTTGTCCTAGTATTCAGCCAATAAGTTCTACATATTACTTTTCTTATTAATGAGACTTACCCTATGCTCAATTTAACAAATTTTTATGGAAATCTAAAATGTGCTTTCATATATTTCTTTGTAATGCAGAGAATATTATTTTCTTAATGATTTCAGGATATCATTATGAAAATCAAATTCTAAATTGTGATAAACTATAATAAAATCTACAGGAGGACCAATAAATAGACTTAATCATGCTGATTAAAGATGAGCTAATCTTAAAATGCAAATCTTTTGTCTCCATATTATCACTTTTCATTACCAGTTTCAGTCAATAGCTGCCATTAAAGTAAGCCTTAAACCAGTTGTTCCTGAATATCAATCAAGCATCTCTTTGCCATCCTCTGATTCTACTGGAAAATATAAAACTAGATTCAATCTTTTAATTGCCTTTAAGTTGTAGACAAGGATGAAATAACTCCACTAAGCCTCCATTTATCCATCTTCCCATACACCCAGACTTCCAGTTTAGCTAAAATATTTCCAAGAAGTCTCCAAATTCTTTAACATCTTTATGCTTAACACAATACTACCCTTATAAAGGAATATGGCTCCTGCTAGTTGGAGCTATTTAAAAAATAATTTGTGCCTGGCCAGTGTGGCTCAGTAGTTGAGCATCGACCTATGAATTAGGAGATCATGTTTGACTCTTGGTCAGGGCACAAGCCTGGGTTGCCTGCTTGAGCCTTAGTGGGGGGCATGCAAGAGGATCAATAATCGTCTCTCATCATTGATGTTTCTGTCTCTCTCTCTCCTTTTCCCTTCCTCTCTGAAATTAATAGAAGTACATTAAAAAACAACTCCCCCCCCCCCAAAACAAAACAAAACAAAACAAAACAAAAACTACTTGTTCCCTGGCTGGTATGGCTCCCTTGGTTGGAGCATCATCCTGTACACCAGTAAGTGGTGGATTCAGTTCTTGGTCAGGCACACAGCACCCAGGTTGCAGATTTGATCCCCTGTGGGAGTGCATGCAGGAAGCAACTGACCAAGGTGTTTCTCTCACATGGATGTTTCTCTCTCTTTCCTTTTCTCTCTAAAAAAAATAAATAAAATCTTAAATAACTTGTCTGAACCTGATGGGGTAGTCCTCTCAATTTACTCTCCTTGGACAGTGGCCTTTCTGTACTTTGTTAGTTCTAGGTTGCCCTTGTTTCACATTCACTTTTCTGATTCCACATGAATGTGGTTCAAATATTAAAAAGGGAGCAAGGTTTTAGGGACAAATAAGGAGAGGCTGCCCATAGCTGGCACAGTGGGAATAACCTGGCCCTAACCCACAGATTAGGTGTGGGTGGCATAATTTGTACGCTGCAGAACACTTGGTTTTGTGGTAGTGTTTCTGTGTGCTGACGTGGTAGGAGTATAAATAAATATAATGTGCTCTGGCATCTCTCTTTCTCAGTCTCATTCTCTCTGTAGACTGCCAAGATCAACCAAAATTTGGGTATAGAGGCATTGGGACGCTGCATCTATCTTCATCTTATGACTATCCTCTGGACTGTTTGTTTGCTACTTTAAACATAAAATTAAGTAAAATCAACCCTGAGGTGATTGCATTCCTATCCAAACTTGAATTCATACATGACTTTATGATCTGGCAAAGTTCACAAAGCTACTATACTCCCTTGAGAAAAATTTGTTTATAATACATAAAGCAAGGGTAATGGCAAACTACTATATTACTTTACATACTAGTTTTTAAAAAAATGATGGACCCCAACCTCTCCATGCATACTTGAGTAAAGAGACTGTCTAGTTAAGACTCATGAACCCTCCATTTTTATTGCATGTTAGGACTTACCTGATTTCTTCCTCTTCTTGGGAGTCATCTTCATCTTGTTCTATCTCATACTCTTCCTCCTCACTTTGACTCTCTTCATAGTCATCATCAACTTCATCATCTTCACCTTCCATACTGTCTTCCATCTCTTCTTCACTTTCCAAGGACGGCCTCTGTCTAGAGGAGAGTCTTCTAGAACGCTGCTTTGGCCGACACTCTGGACAAAACCAATCTCCTTCAGGCACAGTCTGAAAAGTCACATAATGTCCATTAACCATCTGTCAATCAAAATCTCAATGTTTCAATTATAATCTGAGAATTAGAAAAAGAAAAAATACCTTGAGCTTTGGTCGAACACAGTAAGTATGATGACCCCGGTCACAGCCATCACAAAGTACCATGTTTTCAGCATCACCTTTCTTTCGGCAGATCTTACAACGAGCATTCAGTATAGACTTAGACCATATCACACTTCGATCCAAGGTGGAGAGGTGAAGAAAGACTTGGGAGAGACTAGCAGAAGACAGAAGCGACTCTCGCCAGCGGTCCAGGACTGTTTTATAAGAACGCCCACTGTCACTGGCATCTTAAAGGAAAATGGAAAGTGATTAAAATTTCTAGGCAAATCTCAGAAATTTCCCAAGAACTATTTTCTTGGTAGTTTAAACAAGATAAATGTTACAGTTCTTGTAATACCTAACAAAAATACCATGTTAATATATTAAAAACAAAAACCTCAGTTAAAGAAAATACTTGTTGAATTACATCTTGTTATTGTTATGTCTGTACATCAAATGGTTGGGGATTTCAACAGTTAAAAAAATAACTTCAGCAATGTGTTCTCATCTAATCTCTGTAGCAAATCTTGATCTAAGTTAGCCAGGCCTATGTGGCTTAGTAGTTGAGTGTTGATTATGAGGGGCATGCCAGAGGCAGCCAATCAATGATTCTCTCTCATCTCTGATGTTTCTGTCTTTCCATCTCCCTTCCTCTCTAAAGTCAATAAAAATGTATTAAAAAAAACATTAAAAAAAACCTGGCTAGATATGGTTACAAGTCAGCTACTATTTAACTCAAGGATGTTACTTCTTCATTTCCAGATAAAAGACTGATCTCAGTTAAATATCCATCATACATGAAGTTTCTTTTGAGATGATAAAAATGTTCTACAAATAGATAGCAATGGATGGCTGTACAATTGTGAAATACTAAAAATCACTGAATTGTACTTAAAAGAATGCTTTTAAAAAACATATGTGCATTGATTTCAGAGAGGAAGGGAGAGGGAGAGACAGACACATCAGTGATGAGAGAGAATTATTGACCAGCTGCCAAGAGACAGCCAATCAATGATTCTCATCATTGATGTTTCTATTTCTCACCCTCTCCCTTCCTCTCTGAAATCAATAAAAATATATTTAAAAAATCTATCTTGATATGTAAGTTAATTCAACATTTCAGAGAGACCACAGGGAAGTAGAGTATGACAGAAAATTGATTTGAAACTTGAAACACATTTTCCTAAAAATACAATGATTTATTTATTTCTTAATTACTAGTCCCTGAAAGCATATTAATTTCATAAATTGCTGACACATTATCCAGATAATATTATTTCTATGATCCTAATAATAAATTATAGAACATTTCCTTATCTATGTACTATTTAACACCTGGTATTTCTTTTTTTTAAGAAAAAAAAATTTTTTTTTTATTGACTTTAGAGTAGGGGTGTCGAACTCAATCAGAGAAGGGGCCAAAATCTAAAATCCAGCCTAAATCGCGGGCCGAATGGTTTACTGAACAGTCATAAACTGTCATTGTGATGGAAACGCAGCGGAGTGCAGTGATGACAGCGCGGTGCGGGCCACATTGCAAGGCCTGGCGGGACGGATTTGGCCCGCGGGCCTTGTGTTTGACACATGTGCTTTAGAGAGAAGGGAGAGGGAGAGAGAGATAGAAACATCAATGATGAGAAAGAATCTTTGATTGGCTTCTCCTGCATGCCCCCAACTTGAGATTGAGACCACAACCTGCTGTATGTGACATGACTGGGAATCAAACCGTGACCTTCTGGTTCATGGTTCGAGTGATGCTCAACCACTGAGGCACACTGGCCGGACAACATTTGGTAATCCTGATCTAGCACTTCTTATATAGTGTTCAGGTGAGTGATCCACATTATTAAACTGTACCTTTAATGGTGGAAATTTAAATAGCTTCTTTGTGGTTTTGTTTTTAAAAAATAACAAAAAACTTATGTACAATCTTTGATTCTTCAGTCTGGCTAATCATAGGTTGTGATAATCTTACTTCTGATTAATATTTCACAAAAGAAGATATTGACAGAAATAGTTAAAAAGACATTTATTAAATGATAACTAAAATAAAAATTTAAAAATAGTATTTAAGAATTATTTTAAAAATAAATCTCACCTGAAAGAATTCATGTATTAAAATGAAAATACAATCTCAAATTTTCCAAACCAATTAATTTCATTGTTAGCTAATGAAGCTTTATTAATTAAAAAGCAATTCCAAAATACTTTAAAAGATAACTAATATTTTGAATTAAAAACAGATATTGCCGAAGCCGGTTTGGCTCAGTGGTAGAGCGTAGGTCTGTGGACTGAAGGGTCCCGAGTTCGATTCCGGTCAAGGGCATGTACCGTGGTTGCGGGCACATCCCCGGTAGGGGGTGTGCAAGAGGCAGCTGGTCGATGTTTCTCTCTCATTGATGTTTCTAGCTCTCTATCTCTCTCCTTTCCTCTCTGTAAAATATCAATAAAATATATTAAAAAAAAACAAACCTCAAAAACAGATACTTACCAAGTGGAGCTTTGAGAAAACGCCGTTCAATGCCCTGCTCTATTTGAAAGAGTGCCATTGCCAGATAATGAACCACGTTGCTCACTGATTGCGGTGTACTGGCATTCGTTGAGACAGTACTTGGAGTTTCTGTTTTTATGCCCAAAAGTCTACAATTAAAACAATGAAGAGTTTACGGTACTTAAAAACACTATTAGGTGAAACTTGAATACACTCATTCATCCAAATGATTGCTTACACCTTTGTAAGAAAGTTTCCTCAATCTCAAGGAACTCTTAATAAAATAGTAGGAAAGGAAGATATATACATGAATCAAGAGCTAAACGATGTATCGTTATTGAAGGTCAGAGGGCAAATATTTGGCGGAGGGGCGATGACGAGACAAGGCAAAGGGAAAAGGCTTCAAAGAGGTGACACTGTGTTGGCCCTTAAAGGATAAGTATCACAGGCAGCTTATCTCTATTTCTCCTGCTTCAGCTTTTACTGGGGAGGACTATATAGCTGTCTCCTAACTAAAGATTAGACTACAATCTTACTCCCTTTGCAATAAATCTCCATGCTGCAGTTAAAATGGTCATTTAAAAGGACAAACCCATTCACTCAAAGCCTTTGGCTCACCCTCCCACTATCACATCTTCCCCATATTTAGGTCTGAGGTTTGGATTTACTTCTTCTAGCATTTTCTTTGCTGCTTTCCATGTTCTACCAAGACAAACAGCCCTCCTATGAACTACATTTGCACTGGGTATTCACTTCACCCTGTTCCATAATTACTAGCTTCATGTCTTTCTACTACTTTCTTCTACACCACATGTGTCAAACCCAAGGCCCGCGGGCCAAATCCGTCCCGCCAGGCCTTGCAATGTGGCCCGCACCGCGCTGTCATCACTGCACTCCGCTGCGTTTCCATCACAATGACAGTTTATGACTGTTCAGTAAACCATTCGGCCTGCGATTTAGGCTGGATTTTAGATTTTGGCCCCTTCTCTGATTGAGTTCGACACCCCTATTCTACACAATCAACTCCTTAAAGAAGTCCAATAGAAAATAACTCCAAAAAAGTAAAAGTATCTACTTATTGATATAGAGGTACAGGTTCTGATTATTAGTTCAAATACTATTTAAGTTTAGCACAATTTATATTTTCCTACAGAAAAAAAAGGAAATGTAGAATTACTTTTTGAAATTAATAAAAACATTTAAGTTTAGATTTTTAAAAACTTGGATAAATTATCTTTTTAAAAAATAAACAAATTTTAATGTGGGAATTTCCAAGGACCTTTTATTTTATTTATTTATCTAAAAATATATAGTTATATTGACTTCTGAGAGGAAGGAAGTGGGAGAGAGAAACAACAATGATGAGGGAATCATTGATTGGCTGCCTCCTGCACGCCCCCTACTGGGGATGGAAATCAGCAACCTAGGCATGTGCCCTGACCAGGAATTAAACCTGGGTCATAGATTGACACTCAATCACTGAGCCACTCTGGCTGAGCTAAATTATTATCTTAGGTTGTCTTTTGGTTGCATCAGTACAAAGTAGAATAACAAGTGCCTGAGGTTTAAGTAAAATCATTTCAGTGGTTATAAGTTTAAAGTCCTCACAATAAGGTTTTAAAACAAATTTTTTGAAGAAAAAGAAATATTTACATTAGAAAAAAAGCATAAGAGTGGCAAGGAAAAGTGATGGTTACTTTAAAAAATTCTTTATGGCAGAAACCGGTTTGGCTCAGTGGTAGAGCGTCGGTCTGCGGACTGAAAGGTCCCAGGTTCGATTCCGGTCAAGGGCATGTACATCGGTTGCGGGCACATCCCCAGTAGGGGGTGTGCAAGAGGCAGCTGGTCGATGTTTCTCTCTCATCGACGTTTCTAGTGCTCTATCTCTCTCCCTTCCTCTCTGTAAAAAATCAATAAAATATATTAAAATTTTTTAAATAAATAAATAAATAAATAAATAAATAAATACAAAATTCTTTTTGTACCTGTCTTTTACTATGATTTTTGCTTGTTCATCAATTTCCATGTCTTCAACATTTTCATTCACAGTTTTAATTATCCCATTTTCCTTATTTTCTTCAATTAACAGCTCATACCGTCCATTTTCTAATGCTGATCTCCAGATGTGTCGATCTGTAACCTGTAACAAAACTCAAATTGTTAACCCTGAAAACTGGCATACGTTGTTCCTAAGGAGTATGAGTTTTAATGTACATATGAAAAACTCATGAATGTTCTAGAACAGATTGTGAACAGATTGTGAATCAAAAAGGGATCTAAAAATAAGATTACTAAGTGGTCAAATGAAATTCATATCATTCACAGATGGAAGCTTTAGTACCTTACTCTCTATATAGGAAAATCATAAACAATTCTCAGATTGGTCACCTGACAGTAGCAAAAAGTGACAGATGATAGCAAAGCAATGAACAGAACACACATATCAAACATGAATTACTTACAGATTTTAAAAAGGTAACAAAGAAACCAATAAACAAACCAGACTCAGCAGAGCAGGCAGGAGCTGGTCAAGGAAGAAGAAAATATCCTTACACATTTCAACATCTTGGATAAAAATACCATATAATAGATATTTTAAAAATACTAAAAATTAATGTTAAAAAGGTCTGTTATGGCCACTAATTTCAGTGTAATAAAGCTGACAGTCATATAGCATAATAAAGAAAGATTTATATCCACACATAAACATTTTGATATAGGAGAATAATAGACTTAGTTTTTATAAAAAAAAAAAAAAATATCACTCTGGTATTCAAAATACACATGGGTTGCCTATAGCAAAGAAATGAACAAATATGACCAAAATTCTGGTAATTTGATAAATTAAAAATGGGAACAGGTACAAACCTTTATTGCTCCTAATGTTCCTTGGTAGATTCTGTCTTCAATATCCAAAAGAAAATCTCTCAGCCTCAATTCAAGCTGCTTCTCTGCAGACATCTGAGATGGATCATATGCATTGGAAGCTCTTCCCCGAGTATACGTAGGTTTGCTATCAATTTGAGGTTTGTCTGAAATAGTTATCCAATACTTTACTATGATTTACTTATTAAAAAATATAATCACCCCAATGTAACTGTTATGATCATGAGATAATGGATATCAAAACCCTTAGTAAATTCTCAAGTGCAATAAAAAAGAGGGGGAGAAAATGTTTGCATATTGTATATATGAAAAGGAACTTAAATCTAGGATATACATAAAAAACTCATAATAAAGACAATCTAATTAAAAAGGGTCAAATGATCTGAATAGACTTTTCTTTAAGGAGGATATATAAATGGCCACTGAGATCATGATATAATTACTCATTACTCTTTCAGGAAGTGAATGTCGAAAATAAAATGTATCACTTCACTGTAGGATGGCTAGAATAAAAAAGGGAGATAATAACAAGTGTTGGCAAAGATGTGGAAAAATCTTAACCCTCATACTCTGTTGGCAGAAATATAAAATGGTGTTGCCACTTTGGGAAACCGTTTGGTACTTCCTCAAATGATTAAACAGAATTACCATATGGCCCACTAATTTCACTCTGGGCCATATGAGAAATAAAAACATACCTTAACACAAAAACTTGTATGCAAATGTTTATACTAGCATTATTTAAACTAGCCAAAAGTTGGAAACAATAGAAATGTACAACAACTAACATATGGATAAAAAAAAAATAAAAAAAAGTGGTATACAATGGAACATTATTTGCCCATAAAAAGGAATGAAATGCTGTTACATGCTACTACTTAGATGAATCTTGAATACATTATGCTAAGTGAAAGAAGTCAGCCACAAAAGACCATATGTTACATAATGCCATTCATATAAAATGTTTAGACAAAATAAATTTGTGGTTCTTAGGACTATTGGGTGGGGAGTAGTAGCTAAAGTGTATGGTGTTTCTTTATAAGGTGATGAAATGTTTCAAAATTAACCATGTGGCCAAAGCCGGTTTAGCTCAGTGGTAGAGCATCAGTCTGCGGACTGAAAGTTCCCAGGTTTGATTCCGGGAAAGGGCATGTACCTTGGTTGCGGGCACATCCCCAGTAGGGGGTGTGCAAGAGGCAGCTGGTCGATGTTTCTCTCTCATCGACGTTTCTAGCTCTCTATCTCTCTCCCTTCCTCTCTGTAAAAAATCAATATATTAAAAAAAAAAATTTACCATGTGATGATGGTTGTGCATATCAGTGAATACCGTATACTATACAACCACTGAAGTGAATATTTTTAATGGGTGAATGATGTATGAATTAAATATAATAAAGCTGTTAATAAAGAATTGTGAGCCACAGTTTTTAACCCTGAAGAGAATTAAAGTAGTGATGGCCACTCTGGCTGGTTTTGCTCAGTGGTTAAGTGTTGGCTGTGGACCAAAGGGTCAAGGGTTCCCAGTCAAGGACACATACTTCGGTTTTGTGTTTACTCCTCACCTCTGGTCTTGGTGTATGCAGGAGGCAACCAATCAATGGGTCTATGTTTCTCTCTCTCTACTTCTATTCCCTTTTACTCTGCCTGAAAATCAATGGGAAAAATATTCTCAGGTGAGGATTAAATAAATAAAATAAACTAGTGATGGTAATATGCCCCCAAATTTAAGAGAAAACTACCTAGAGAATATCATTTAGAAATATAAAAAATTATACCTAGCCCTGGCCAGGTGGCTCAGTTGTCTGGAGCATGTGGTAGGTTTGATTCTCGGTCAGGCACATACCCAGGTTTTAGGTTCAATCCTCAGTTGGAGACATGCACACACAGGAGGCGGCCGATCATGTTCTCTCTCTTCACTCTCTCTCTTCCTCCTTCCCTGCCTCCCTCTCCTCTTCCTCTCTCCCCAATTTTACATATCCTTGGGTGAGGATTAAAAGTAAAACAAAACAAAACCAAAAACTTATATCTAAAAATATTTTACTGCTATTACAAATGAAACCCAGTGGAATCTAGAGAACCTTGTTTCCCTAACTCATAAACACTTTCAAAATGATAGCATGGTCCAAATGAAAGATAAGGTGTTTTTAATATAGCTATAATAATTTGCAAAATGTTTAAACCTGAATCAGAGTTATATGAGGAGAGAAAAATAACATTTTCACTGAAAAGTTACCTGAAAAATGGAATTTCTCTTCAGAAAAACGGGCTAGTTGTGCACATATTCTGCTTTTCTCTTGTAACAAAGTTTCTTTTAAGGCACTTTCTCTATGTCCTCTAGAATTAAGAGCTTCGATAAGCTGGTCTAGCTGTTCACAAGAACTATAAAAGCACCACCGATTTGGCTTATGCACTGGTTTTGGCAGTTGCACAGAATCATCACATAAATCTTGGTCAATGTTGGAGGTAGATTCAGACATCAAAGACTCTCCAGTTTTTGTGGATCCCTGAGCATTTTGAAACTGTACATTATTCTGAAATGAGGAAGGTCTAGGCAACAGCATGTCTTCAGTGAGACCAGAATAATCCTCTTCAATAAACAATCCAGGAATAGAAGGGAAAATCCAATACCGCCTATACATTCGGTCACGTCCCAAGGGAAAGATATTGGTGCATGCTATGGCACTTTGGATTTTTTCTAAGAGCTCTTTCTCTTTTTGTTGGTGTTCCTGTTTTAAAGCTTCTTCCTCATTAGCAGTAAGAGACTCTCTTGTTAAACAGTTGATCTTTTCTTGTCTTGTAAATTCTTTAAATCCATTTTGTCCTCTTTTCCCTAGAATTGAAGTAACATTTGATCACCAACATATTTTAAACTTTCATTAGAAAAATAAGATATAAGGCTACCCCAAGGTACTGTGTGCTATGGACTGAAATGTATGCCCCAAAACTCATAGGTTGCAATTCTAAATCCCTATGCTACCGCTTCTGGAAATAGGATCTTTAAGGAAATAATTAAGGTGAAATGAAGTCCTAAGGGTGGGATTATAGGAAGAGGAAGAGAGACCAGAGCATTCTCATTCTTAATTTCTACTTCTAACTTCTTAAATAAATGAATACCTCAATTTGCCTTTGTTGATTCCTAATATGCATTAAAGCTATAAATGTTCATCAAAGTAAAGGAGGAACTACATCAAACAAATGTTAACATGCAGCATTGATTAGTTTAAAATATTTTCTACTTCCCCTTATGGTTTCTCCTTTGATACACTGCTTGGAAATATGTTTTAAAACGCTCATCATATGAGGTTTTTGTTTTGAATTTCTAAATCAATTGGACTGCAATCAGAAAATATAACATCCATGATACAGGACATTTTCTGTAATAATAATCATTTAGAAAATAATGCAGAAAAAAATAGCATCCAAATTATAGGCACAGAATAAACTTAAGGGTTAAGTTGTCAAATGAAGATGGTTAAAGACCCTCCGAAGTAATTTGTATCAATAACTTTCAAAAATGTATCGGGTCTAGTAATAATTAATGTCGTTTTCAAACATTCGTTTAAAATCTTGCTTGGCGTTGACTTGTATTGACATAACCTTCAAACACGTGGTATCTACAGAACGTGTGAAGTGCAATTAACAAGTTTTGCTTGAAAAAGTTTGTGTTTGGTTTGGTTTTTGTTGCAAAACTAGGGCTAAGAAGATGGCGGATGAAGAGCATATTCGGCACTGCATGCTTTACGAGTTCCAATTAGGAAGAAAAGCAAGTGAGGCTGCAAAAAACATCTGTAGTGCTCTTGGTCAAGATGCAGTTAGCGCCAGAAAATGCCAGCGTTGGTTTGAGAAATTTCGCGAGGGAAATTTTTCGTTAGATGACAAGAGTGGTGGATGCCGTGTGTCCAATTTTGATCAAGAAGCTCTTCAAGCTCTTCTGGTGCAAAATCCTCAAATTACCCAACAAGAGCTTGCGACAACTTTAAATTGTTCACAGAAAACCATTTCCAATCAATTGCGTGCACTTGGCAAAGTCCAAAAGTTTGGACAATGGGTTCCTCATGAGTTGACCGACAACAACCGTAATCAGAGAGTCACAATTTGTAGTTCGCTCCTCTCTCGTCAAAACCGTTTGCCGTTTTTAGAGCAAATTGTTACCGGAGATAAAAAATGGGTGCTGTATGTTAATTTGAAAAGGCAGCCTCAATGGTTGGACAAAAATGAGGCTCCTCAGCCCACGCCAAAACCTGACTTGCATGCGAAAAAAGTGATGTTGTGTGTTGGTGGAATTTTAAAGTTCTTCATTATGAACTTTTACCATCTAACCAAACCATTACAAGTGTAGTGTATAGTGCCCAATTGGAAAGGTTAGCCCAAGCTTTAAGAGAAAAAGAACCCGCGCTGATTAATCGGAAGGGCGTAATTCTTCACCACGATAACGCACCACCGCATACTGCAAGAATCACTGCTGAAAAACTGCCCAGTTGGAATGGGAAGTTCTCCCTCAACCTGCATATTCTCCTGATATTGCCCCTTCCGATTACCATTTGTTTCGTTCTTTGCAAAATTTTCTTCTTGGAAAAAAATTTAATAATGAAGAATGCCTCAAAAATGCATTGACCGAATTTTTTGCATCAAAATCACAAGAATTTTACAGCAGAGGGATTAAAATGCTTCCTGAGCGTTGGGCACAAGTAGTAGAAAACAACGGCAACTATATTGTTGATTAAATTTTGTTGTATTGTTTAAATAAATTCGATTTAAAAAAGTAGTAGAAAACGACATTAATTATTACTAGACCTAATATTTCCTTTGATCCAGGAGTTTATGAAATTATTTTAAGGCAGCAGAGATTTCCATTCTCAGAAATATGACACCAATTACAAGCTTTATTGATCTTTGTATCTCTATTAACTAAGAGGCATTCAATGAATGTTGAATGGGTACATTATAGAAAAATCATTTAACAAAAAAAATCAACAAAATTCACGGACTAACCAAAAGTAGAAGTTATGAGAAACTGACCTATTAAAGAGATAGGTATATTGTCTTTTTTCCCTAAAGTATAAATGACATATAAATAAAGACCTAATCATAAATATACTAATGTAACTTCATAACTATTTTCCAACAAAATGGTTACAGCTATGAGTTGGGCACTTAACACACACACCTTGGAATCACAAATGGAAGTAATCTAATACATAAGTCAGAACAGCTGAGTTAACAAAGTGCCTTATCAATTAAAAACAAGTAAGCATGTCCATAAGAAATTTCTGTATTACCCCTTCGGCTTCTTTTATGGGATCCTGGGTCATCTTCATCTTCAGTGACTGTATCTTGATCTAGTTCCTTTTGCTCTATTTCTTTGCTGTCAGTGCTAGTATCAAAATCTTCTCTTTCGTCCTCCCTTCAGGATAAAAACAAAGTTTATATTCATTAGTGAATATATAATTCCATTCATAAACTACTTATTTCCAGCCTACAAAGTGTGCTTATGAAGTAGTAGACAAGAGGACACAGAGTTGCCAAGATCGGTTTGGCTCAATGGATAGAGCGTCGGCTTGGGGACTGAAGGGTCCCAGGTTCGATTCCAGTCAAGGGCATGTACCTTGGTTGCGGGCATATCCCCAGTAGGGGGTGTGCAAGAGGCAGCTGATCGATGACTCTCTCTCATCGATGTTTCTAACTCTCTATCTCTCTCCCTTCCTCTCTGTACAAAAATCAATAAAATATATTAAAAAAAAAAAAGAGGACACAGAGTTTATAGACTTGTAAAGAAAACATAAACCATTGTTAATATGTAGTAAGTACTAAAAAAGGTGCTGTGGAAGCATTTAAAGGAGAACCAGATCTAGTCTCAAGGATCAAGAAAGGTTTGCTTGAAGAAATGACATTTAAAGTGAAAGACTAAAAAAAACAACAAACAAAAAACCCAGAAAGATTACAAAGACCGAGGAGGAGTGAGCTGGCAGGGAAATAAAATATCCATTTCTAGTAGAGATGATAATATATGCAAAGGCTGAAGGGAACAGGAAAGAGCATATAATTTCAAGAATGTAAAACAACAAAAAGAGAAAAAATGAATGTAAAACAAATAAATTATACAAGGTATGGGTAAGAAGAAGGCAGGATTAGATCAAACTAGATTTTGTAGGCATTATTCAAAAGTCAATGGTAAAAAAGAGAGAAAAAGCAATGGTGAAAAGGTAAAAGAGTTCAGTAAAGGGAAATGATATGACTAGAAAAGCACTTTGGTTGCTACATGGAAAATTACCTGGCAGAATAGAAGAGGGGGGACCAGGAAAGTGGCCACTATAATAGTCTAGGCAGTTGGCTGGGAGGTGGTGGTGGCTCAGAGTAGAAGTAGATAGATAAATAGTGGAGGAGAAAGGTAGACAAAATTTCAGATATAAGTAGGCAGAATGAACACTTATATGGATGTTTGGTCTAATCATTCTATTGTTCAAATTAAAACTAAAATTGTATGAATTCTGAAATAAATTCCATTTATATCCTATATGCAAAGTGAGGTTTATAAACTCAAATGTATTCAGAACCGAGAAAGATAATTTATGAGTGAGGCTAAATGAGTATAAAATATGAAGTTGTGGGGTCTATAACATGTTTATTTTTTTGAAAGACAAAAACCCATGATCATATCAATAGATGGGGAAAAAGCATTCAATAAAATCCAATACCCAAATTAAAAAAATATATATATTTTATTGATTTTTTTACAGAAAGGAAGAGAGAGGGACGGAGAGCTAGAAACATCGATGAAAGAGAATCACCGACCAGCTGCCTCTTGCACACCCTCCACTGGGGATGTGCCCGCAACCAAGGTACATACCCCTGACTGGAATCGAACCCGGGACCCTTCAGTCTGCAGACCGACGCTCTATCCACTGAGCCAAACCAGCCTCAGCCCAATACCCAATTTTGATAAAAACTCTCAACCAAGTGGGAATAGAGGGAGCATATCTCAACATGATAAAGGCCATATATGATAAACCTACAGTGAACATTATATTCAACAGGCAAAAACTAAAACCATTTCCTATAAGAACAAGAACAAGCAGAGATGTCTGTTTTCACCACTCTTGTTCAATAAAGTACTACTGAAGCCTAGTCACAGTGATCAGACATGGAAGAAATAATAAGTAACTAAACTGGAAAGGAGGAAGTAAAACTGTCATTAATCGCAGATGACATGATATTGTACATAGAAAATCCTACACAGTCTCCCTCAAAAAACTACTAGATTTAATATATGAATTTGGCAATATAGCAGGATACAAAACCAATACCCCAAAATATATGGCTTTTTAATACAACAATAAACCTCTGAAAGATAAACTAAACAAGCATCTCATTTACCATTGTAACAACAACAAAAAATTAAAATACTTAGGAATTAACTTAACCAAGGAGGCAAAAGACCTGTTCTCAGAAAACTACAGGACATTGGAAAAAGTGATAAGAAGATATAAACAAGTGGAAGAATATTCCATGTTCAAGGTTGGTAGAATTAACATCATTAAAGTGTCCACACTACCCAAGACAATCTACAGATTCAATGCAATCCCTATTAAAATACCAACAGCATATTTCACAGGTCTAGAACAAATACTCCAAAAATTTATATGGAACCAAGAAAGAATCCAAATAGCTGCAACAATCTTGAGAAAGAAGAACAAACTTGGAGGAATCATAGTACCAGATTTCAAGTTATACTACAAAGCCACCATAATCAAAACTGCCTGCTACTGGCGTTTAAGAGCAGGCATATAGATCAATGGAACAGAACAGAGAACCCAGAAATCAACCCAAGCCATTATGCTCAAATAATATTTGACAAAGGAGGCAAGAGCATACAATGGAATCAAGACAGTCTCTTCAATATATGATGTTGGGAAAATTGGACAGATACATGTTTATTTTCTTATAAAAAAAAAACGAAAAACCCTGAGATATCACAAGGAAAAAAATTTGTAACTATGAGGTGATTAATATTAATTAAACTTACTGGTAATAATGTTAACAATACTATTGATATATGCATATATTAAATCATTTTGTTGTACACATTAAACTAATACAATGCTACATGTCAGTTATTCTATCTAATAAAGAGGGAATATGTTAATTGACCCTCATACAGTCATAAAGATGGCAGCGTCCAATAAGGAGGGAATATGCTAATTGACTTCCGTGCCCTCAAAAATGGCAGAGCCCACAGCCACAAGATGGTGGCACCCAGTTCCCTCAGCCCCACGGAAGCAGTAGGTGCATGGTAAGGCCGAGCCCGCGCACCTACCTCTAAAGTCCCCCAGTCCCCTTAGCCCTGCAGCACCCAGGGTTGGCCTCATATGGCAGCTGCCCAAGGCTTGTGCTGCCTACAGTGGCAGCAGCAGGTGTGATGGGGCGTCGCCTTCCCCTGATCATAGGTCATCTCCCGCCCCTGAGCGCTCTCGGACTGTGAGAGGGGGGCAGGCTGGGCATGATTTTCATGCACCGGGCCTCTAATATTTTAATATAACAGGAAAAAGTTTATAAAATGTAAAAAATTGAGATATAATTCACATACCATAAAAATCACATTTTTAAGTGCAGGATTCACTAGTTTTAGTATATTCTCATGGTTGTACAATCATTACCCTGATTTAATTCCAAAACATTTTCATCATCTCCAAAGACAAACCCTGTAGTAATCACTTTCCATTTTATCTTCCCCACTGTCCCTGGTAACCATTCATCTATTTTCTGCTACGAATTTGTCTATTCTGGACTTTTCACATAAATACAATCATACACTACATGGCCTATTAGGATCAGCTTCTTTTACCTGCATTACATTTTAAAATTTCATCAACATTGTAGCATATAAGAGTTCTATCCCTTTTTCTTGCTGAACTAGAGGCCCAGAGCATGAAATTCATGCATGGACAGCAATCGGGGCCCATCAGGTTCCGCTGCCGCCTCCTCACCTAGCACTGAGCTGCCACTGTGCAGTTCCCCACACCTCCTCCTTCCCTTCCTCCCGCAGCACCCCACTGCCGCTGGCCGTCCGCCATGTTCTGCGCCACCCCCGGTGGTCAGTGCAAGTCATAGCGAACGATCAAACTCCCATTCTCCATTGAACTCTAGAGGGGGTGCTTTTCCTATTAGCCTTTTGTACATATAAATAACATTTGCTGTATGAATATACCACAGAAAGGATATATCATTTTAATTATATATCATTTGTCATCAATTGATAGACATTTGGGTTGTAACAATTTTTTGGCTATTTAGAATAATGTTGCTGGGACCGGTTTGGCTCAGTGGATAGAGCGTCGGCCTGCGGACTGAAGGGTCCCGGGTTTGATTCCAGCCAAGGGCATGTACCTTGGTTGCGGGCACATCCCCAGTGGGGGGCGGGGGGGTGTGTGTGCAGGAGGCAGCTGGTTGATGTTTCTCTCTCATCGACATTTCTAACTCTCTGTCCCTCTCAATTCCTCTCTGTGTAAAAAAAAATAAAAAAATAAAAAAATTCTTCTTTAAAAAAGAAAAAAGAAAAAAGAAAAAAAGAATAATGTTGCTATTCCCTGGCCAGTGTGGCTCAGTTGGTTAAGCATCATCCCATGCACTGAGAGGTTGCTGGTTCGATTTCCAGTCAGGGCACTTATCCTGTGCCAGAGGCAACCAATCAATGTGTCTCTCTCACTACCGGGTTTCCCCGAAAATAAAACATCCTCCAAAAATAAGACCTACTTACAGGTTTCCTTCTGAGTGAAATATAAGGCATCCCCCCGAAAATAAGGCCCCCCCTATGAGTCACAAGAAATTCACCAGGAAATTCAGGAATTGGATTGTTATGATGTTCCAGAAGATGATGATATGATTGTCATTGAATAAATGAGTAAATTCTTGATACTGTAGGAGTCACAGTTTGTCTGGTTTGTGTTGACAACTACCGTACTACCGTACCGTATACAGGTAATAAATTTCCTTTATTTTCATTTAACAATAAATGTGCACCGTATTCTTCTTCATGGAAAAATAAGACATCCCCTGAAAATAAGACCTAGCTTATCTTTGGGAGCAAAAATTAATATAAGACACTGTCTTACTTTCGGGGAAACAGGGTATTTCTCCCTCTATAAATGAGAGGGAGGGTGAGAGAGAGCGAAACATTGATGTGAGAGACACACATAGAGTGGTTGACTCCTGAACATACACTGACTAGGGTTGGGATCAACATGCAAGTCAGGTACATGCTCTTGACCAGGAAGTGAATCCTGGTGCTCAGGCCGACACTAAACACTGAGCCATGCTGGCCAGGGCAAGAGTTCTGATTTTTCCACTTTCTCACCAACACTTGTTACTGTCTCCCCTTTGGATTAGAGCCATTCTAGTGAGTGGCGAGTACATCTCAGCATGATTTTGATACACATTTCCCTACTGACTAATGATGTTGAGCATCTTTTCTTTGGCTTCTTATGTATTTTCTTTGGAGAAATGCCTATTCAAATCCTCTGTCAATTTTTTAATTGGGTTGTGTTTTTATTGTTGAGTTGTATGAGTACCTTTCTATTCTGAATATTAGACCACTATCAAGTATATGATTTGCAAATATTTTTTTCCCCATTTACTGGATTGTCTTTTTTAACCTTTTTTTTTTTTTTTTTTTTAAATCCTCTCCTGAGGATATGCTTTTCATTAATTCTGGGGGGGAGGGAGGGAGGGAGGGAAAGTGGGAGAGGAAAAGAGGAAGAGGGGAAGAGGGGAAGAGGGAGAGAGGGAGAGAGAGGGAGGGGGAGGGGAAGGGGAAAAGAGAGAGAGAGAGAGAGAAAGAGAGAGATATCCATGTGTGAGAGAGAAACATCGATCCGGTCAGGGCCTTCTATTCATCCCCTGACCAGAGTTCGAACCCATAGTCTAGGTATGTGCCCTGACTGGGAAAATTAAACCCAAGATCCTTTGATGCTCTGGAAAACATTCTAACCAATTGAGCCATACCAGCCAGGGCTCTATTCACTTTATTGATTGTGTTCTTTAAGTATAAAAGTTTTTAATTTTTATGAAGTCCAATTATCTATTTTTTCTTAGGTTGCTTATGCGTAACGTGTCATATATATTAACTTTCTTAAGGCATCCAAATTCAATTGATGGACATATAAAATATAGCCATTTCAAGTCTGTGACCTATGATCTTCAGGATTAAAAAGTATTTTTTACATGTAAGTATAATCAAGTCAGTACTAATTTTGTAACACTGAGATTTTTAAAACATCCCTTGCAGATTTTATAAATAAAAAATTAGTTCTGCTAAATTTGATTATGGTTTGGCATCTACAATATGGAAAAATTCCCACTTGTCTTCATAGCCAATCTTCATCCCAAATATTTTATGCAATAAAATACTTAGGTAGTCACTAAATTACCTAAGGAGCTTTCATCCTTTCTCTATACCTTGTATCAAAATCTCCAATCTCATCCCTAATCCTCAATAGGCTCAGAGAAGCTCTGTGAAACATAGTGTACAACTGTGATGATGTTGGTGATGGAGTGGAGGACTTACTACTATTGCTAGAAATATATTACTGATTAAAAATAGCCTATTAAAAGCTTTCTGGGAAATTTTAATTAGTAATCTTATTTCTATGAGAAGATGAGAAATAAGCTTCAGATTCCCTGGAAATACTTTTTTTTGGTTAATTTTCACCTGAGGACATTTTTCCATTGATTCTTTAGAGTAGGGGTGTCGAACTCTATCAGAGAAGGGGCCAAAATCTAAAATCTAGCCTAAATCGCGGGCCGAATGGTTTACTGAACAGTCATAAACTGTCATTGTGATGGAAACGCAGCGGAGTGCAGTGATGACAGCGCGGTGCGGGCCACATTGGGACGGATTTGGCCCGCGGGCCTTGTGATTGACACATGTGCTTTAGAGAGAGTGGAAGGGAGGGGAAGAGACAGAGAGAGAGAGAGAGAGAGAGAGAGAGAGAGAGAGGAACATTGATGTGTTTCGTTGCCTCGACCAGGACTGAGGGGTGAGCCACCAGAGCCAGAGATAAAACCTGCAATGGAGGTATGTGCCCTTGACCAGAATCGAACCCCAGACCCTTCAGTCCGTAGGCCAATGCTCTATCAACTGAGCTGAACTGACGAGGGCTCTGGAAGCATTTTTAAACACAACACATGGACTGATGCCATTCTGGTCTCAACCTTTTGCTCACAGATGTAACAATATATTTATAATTCTTAAAAACACACACAAAAACACACACACACAAGACAAGACCAAGATGGCAGCATAGGTAAACACCTGTGCTCACTGCCTCCCACAACCACATAAAAATTACACCTAAAATACAAAACAACCATCATCCAGACCCACCAGAAAGCTGGCTGAATGGAAGTCCTACAACTTGAGAGGTAAAGAAGAAAGCACACCAGGACTGACTGGGAGGAGGTGCGGAGGTGTGGATGAGCTGGTCTGGCACCAACGTGGTCAGCCTTTTTAGTTGGGAGGGACACGGTTTCTGAGGAGGCCAGAGGCTGCCCGGAGGAGCAAGGGATAGCAGCCTCACACCAGCCCTCCCGCCCAGGCTCCCAGTGCTGGGAAGAGAAGTCCTCGTAACTATGGCCGTAAAAACCAGTCTGGTTTGGGGTTCAGTGACAGGGGCTGGTGGAGACCTAGCTGTTCCTCTTAAAAGGCCAGTATCACAAACTCAACCTACAAGGCTCTGCTTTCTCTCAACTCCAGAATCAGGATGAGGCTTTGGGGGACATAGACACATACGAGGAGGAACTGGACTGCCTGGCATTGGGGTAGGAACTCGGGGTCGGCTTTCTCCCAGAAGGAGGTGCTCCCTGCTCTGCCCTGGTGATTCCCTGAGACCCTGCCCCACCTCATTTACAACCCCAACAAAGTGTGTGCAGTGGCTTTTGCATATGAATGGCCTGGCCTTGCTCAGGCTAAAATCTGTCAAACAAGCTGCAGCTGGGTCAGGAAGCCCCAAATCTCTCTCAAAAAAAAAAAAGGCCCAAGACCCAGCACCAAAAGGCCCAAGACCCAGCACCAAAACCAGCCTGCCTTGTTCCACAACTAGACCTCACCTGGGCACTTCCAAATCTGATAACACAGAAGAGGAATCTGCAGATCTCTCTGAGGCTCCTGCTGGGTGGCCCCAGGCAGTGGCTGACTTTGCACCTCCTTGGAGACCAAGAGCAGTGTACCCAGTGGTCAGTGTGAAATCATACCAGATTACAACTCTACACATCCATAAGTGACACATTCAAGGGGCAGACTCAGTGAGCACCAAAGCCCCACTGAAGCAAGTCCTGCTCCATAGGGCTGTCTCCTGCACAGCAGTTCTCTGATTGCAGATACAACTGGTCCTCACAGCCAATAGGCCTGGAGGTCAATTCCTCCCAGTGCCACCAACAGCAATCAAGGCTCAATTAAACAAGACTGCTCACAGCCCATACAGGGATGCACCCAGAGTGCCCAGCTCAGGTGACTGGGGAGGCTGAGGCACTGGGCCCTATAGGACACCTACTACTCAAGGCCATGCTACCAACTTCAGAAGACATAGCAGGCCGGGACCGGTTTGGCTCAATGGATAGAGCGTCGGCTTGGGGACTGAAGGGCCCCAGGTTCGATTCCGGTCAAGGGCATGTACCTTGGTTGTGGGCATATCCCCAGTAGGGGGTGTGCAAGAGGCAGCTGATCAATGACTCTCTCTCATTGATGTTTCTAACTCTCTATCTCTCTCCCTTCCTCTCTGTACAAAAATCAATAAAATATATTAAAAAAAAAAAAAAAAAGACATAGCAGCTCTAACCAATACACAGAAACAAACATAGGGGAGCAGCCATAATGTAGAGAAAAAGAAGCATGTCATAAATGAAAGAAATGGAAGAAAGCAAAGTATTAGATATTGAGTTCAAAACCACACTTAAAAGGTTACTCAAGAATCTTCTGCAAACCTCCAAGGGACTTAGTGAGACCTTTTAAGAATCCCAGTAAGAATAAAAAAAAAATGGAAAAGGACTAGTAAGAAATTAAGCACACACTGACTGAAATAAAGAACAATTTACAGGGATTCAACAGTAGACTAGAGGATCCTGAGAATCAAATCAATGATTTGAAATATAAGGAAGCAAAAGACATCCAACCAGAAGAGCAAAAAGAAAAAAGATTCAAAAAATATGAAGACAGTGTAAGGATACTCTGGGACAACTTCAAGCATACCAACATCCACTTTATGGAGGTGCCAAAGGAAGAGAGAGAGCAAGATATTGAAAACCTATTTGAAGAAATAATGACAAAAAACTTCCCCTACCTGATGCAAGAAATAGACTTACAAGTCCAGGAAGCACAGAGAACCTCAAACAAGAGGAACCCAAAGAGGACTACACCAAAACATATCATATTTAAAATGCCAAGGGTTAAAGACAAAGAGAGAATCTTAAAAGCAGCAAGAGAAAAATGGTTAGTTACCTACAAGGGAGCATCCATACAACTGTCAGCTGATTTCTCAACAGAAACTATGCAGGTCAGAAGGGAGGGGCAAGAAATATTCCAAGTGATGAATAGCAAGGACCTACAACCAAGATTACTCTACACAGCAAAATGATCATTTAGAGTTGAAGTTCAAATAAAGAACTTCACAGACAAGAAAAAGGTAAAGGAGTTCATCTAATGATGAACCAGTATTATATGAAATGTTGAAGGGTATTCTTAAAGAGAGGAAGAAGAAAAGAGTAAAGATAAAAAAGTATGAACAAAATGGCAATAAATACATACCTATCAATAATTGAATCTAAAAATCAAAATAAACGGAATAAATAATCTAATGAACAGAATAAACTGGTGAATAAAATAGAACCAGAGGCATGGAAATGGAACAGACTGACGACTCTCAGAGTGAGGGGTGGGGGTGGGAAGAGATTAAAAAAATATCTTATATGCATATATGCATTACCTTGGACTCAAACAATTAGGGTGTCGAAGGCCTAGGGTGGGGCGGGAACCAGGTGGAAGAGGGCAATGGGGAGAAAAAAGAGGGACATCTGAATAATCTCAACAATAAAGATAAAATAGACACACACAAAAGGAAACTACACAACACGTATACTTGAGGGCTCTCCATACTACTAACTTTCATAGGCTCATAAAACAATTATTTTATCTATAGAATACTAGTTTTCTAAAAATTCTGAAAGCATTTTATAGTTCAAGGTATTGATTTTTATTCTTTATGGAAAGCAAGATGAACAGTGTAATTCAAACCCTACCTAATTGGCATATCCGCAGCTGAATTTCTTTGTTCATCATCCTTCAGTTTTTCTTGTTTCTCTTTCATTTTTTGTTCTTGCTCCTTAAGTTTTTCTGCCTTCCTTTTACGAATTCTAAAAGTAAAAAAAAAATTAAAAAATTATATATATATTTATATATATATATATATAGTCTATCAGATGTTTTTAACTTTTAGTTTCTTGCCATTAGTCATTAAATTAGTCATCCAAACATTATCGCAAAACCATAATGTAGCAATCCATTTATAACCTCTTATTGAAGCCAGAAAACATCAGTGTGAGCCAATGTCACATTACAGCCCAATGTGAAATACAGTTCTAGATGCAAAAAAATAAATAGCTTTCATTAGAACTGACAATAATTGTTTCTTACCTAGCAGCTGCTTCTTCCCGTTCTTTTCGGTGTTGTTCTGCTTTTAACTCCCGGAACTCCTGCTTGGCCTGTCGTAATATATCAACATAATCTTCAATAAAATCCCTAGTAGAAACTAGGGTTAGTAGTTTCCCACAGAGAGCATGAAGTATCTTCATTTTTTCTCCTGTAAAAAATAGGTAAATAGCTTCTGAATTATCAATGACAAAAAAAAAAATGAATTGTTTGAATAATTTTAATTTGTGGTTCAATGTGAAAATGTTTAAAAAGAATAGGGCAAAGTCTCTTAAGATCATACATGTAAATGGCAGGTTTTCAGAAAAAAGCAACATTAAGCCAAATTTAACAGTTATGTGATATATAAGGCATTTCAAATACTAATGACTACCTTATATACTAGTGAAAAAGACATGAAAAAAATTTTTTTTTAATGAATCCTCACCTGACCTGAGGATATTTTTCCATTGCTTTTTTAGAAAGAGTGAAAGGGAGGGGGAGACACACACATTGATTTATTGTCTCCCATACGGGGCCCTAGTCGGGGCTGGGGAATTGAGATTGCAAACTGGAGGTATGACCAGAATCAAATCCATGACCCTTTAGTCTGTGGGTAAACACTCTATCCACTGAGCCAAACTGGCTAGAGCATGGAAAATCTAACTATAAAGAATTGTTTTTCAAGTTTCAATTTTTAGACTCATAAAGTTCAAATTACAACTAAATTATAATCACATGAATTTTCTTTATAATGGCAATAGGCAAATTGCTACTCTGAAAAGACTATTCAGAAACACTAGCATAAATTATAAAAACTATATGAATGGTAGAAATTAAGGTCCTATATGTTCTGTTTTCTTAATCACATAAAATTAAACTCTCTCTATATATAGAAATTAACTGACTAAATTCTACATATATGCAGAACTTCTTACCAACTCACAAATCTAGTCTATATTACAATTTTTTTTATTTAGAAAGGTAGTGAAAAATAATTTTTATACTGTTTCTCAAACCTCAAACATTTATTCAAGCAAGTGTTGGAATTTAGTAGTTACAGCTTAAACTTCTGATATACTAATAAAAATGAAAGCGAATTCTCACTTATCCTTTTAACTTAGTATATTCAGTAGACAAATAAAAAAATTTAAATAGAAAACCCAAATAAAAAAAGAAAATCCTAATTAATTAAAGATAATATAAAAAGTAGTCTCAACGTATGAGACTACTGGTATTCCAACACTTTTTTTTTAAAAGACCATATTTTCTCTTTCTCTTTTAGAACGGCTTATCATCTAAAATATCTCATTAGCTAGTTTTCTGGGTATAAGAGACATAAGAGGGTAGAAAGTGGAAAAGTTATACAAATTCCAACTTGCAAAGTTTACCTGGTGTCAAATCATACACTGAAGTGCTTGACAGTTTCTTTACTAAACTGGGATTGCTTAAACGAAGCTCCATACAGGCGTCATCTGTAGCATCAAATCCTCCTCGTTTCTGATATCTGTACTTTGCATTTGCTGATGTTACATCAGCACCTGAAGCTAAGATGTGCAGTCTGAGGATTTCAGAAAGGGTGCAGCTATCAAGATCCAAACTTTTCAAACTGCAGCCTATGGTTAAAAGTGAAAACAGTCATTTAGAATGTAAACCATAAATCCTCAGCAATGTAAAATGTACCTTTATAAAATTAAAAATTAAAAAGCCAAATAAAAAAAAAAAAGCCCACACATACCCTGGTGCAACTGGGGCCATGCAGCTGCCAAAGATGCAACTGCAGACAGTGCAGATTTTGTGGGGTCTGCATCTTCATCCAAAGCCTCTGTTAAATCTTTAAGGAAATAAATACTTTATTCTAGTGAAAATCAAAGCTTGAATATTTGGGAACAATGCCCTTTCACAATGATGAAACAGCAAACAACTTAATATTCACAAACCTCAAAAGAACCAACACTAGTTACAAGCATCATTTATATTCTGCCTACTCTCCACCTAAAACTCTAAATCCTGCAACATGCACTACATATTAATATTTTCCTTACTTAACAGACAAGACAACTTCCAAGTTACCATCAAGATGCACATACACCTTCCAAAAAATGGTAAAATAATATTTAAAATGAAAAATCTTTTTGCTCAATATAACTTTGGTAAATACTACTTTGAAAATCAAAATCTACTTGAAGATAGCCAATCTTTAAATATATATATATTTTTACTGATTCAGAGGAATAAAGTGGGAGAAAGAAATAGAAACATCAATGATGAGAGAGAATCAATGACCGGCTGCTTCCTGCATGCCCCACACTGGAGACTGAGCCCACAACTTGGGTATGTGTCCTGACAGGAAATCAAACCATGCCTTCTGGTTCATAGGCTGACACTTTCAACCACTCTGCCACACCAGCTATTATCCAATCTTTTATAAATATCTTAAGATTGAATCATAACAAAGTGTAGGTTGTAATCATCACAAAACCAGCAAAGAAAAAGAGCCATTTAAATTTTATTTTGATTTTGGAAACTCTCCAATCCAAAAAACAATAGGAAGATTTTTCTGTATTTTCTAAGTAAATTGCTTTAGCTTTGAAAACAGTGCTTAGCTTACAAATAGGACTAATGAGAAAATCAACAAGCACAAATGAACTTAGAGCATTAGCATATATAATTATTTCTAATTATAATACAGACATGCTAAAAAATTAAAGTATCAACTATGAAAAACTTTAAGCTTACAAAACTTAAGCCCATGTCACAGTACAGTGCACCCAGCTTCAGACTAAGAACCAGATCATGCAGTATATAATCTAGTCGTAGGCTCCTGCAGTTAGTCCCTATTCCTTGTTATGCAGGCTTTAGAAAAGTCACTTAATTAGTTTCACTTTTATGGATGTGATGAGTCTAGATTAGCAGTTTTCAAATTTTCAAATTATTTCTTGGAAGCCCATTGTAAAAGAGATAAAAAATGCCCTTGTTAAAGTAGGGTTATGGAGATGACAATCTTGCACAATCATCTTTCCAACTCTCCTGCAGTGGCACAAGGAACCCCTGTACAACCTGAAAGACTCTATGGATTAAAGTTTAGAAAAACTCTAGGCTAAACTGGCTCTGTGATCCATTAACTTTCTACCATATGATTTCCTTCCCAAAGTTCACAAGCTCACAAAATGAATCTTAGAAAACAGAACTGCTGTCCTTAGAAAAGGAAAAAGGCAGCTCTGGTGTCCTGTCTGATTACAATTATTGATTTCATGGCACTTAATAATAAACAATACCACACAGGAGAAATTATCTGACTAAATTCTACATATATGCACAACTTCTTACCAAGCCACAAATCTAGTCCAAAAACAGACTTTATTTTCTTCCTAATTAAAACATTTTTTCAATTTCAATTTTACTTATAAAGCCAAATAAACAAAATGAACAGGCACTATAAAATTAACAGCAGTCCTAGTTGTGAGCTGTAAGTGTATTGGCTCTCTTCCTTTGCAGCAATCACACATTCTATCTTCTATTTCCTAGGACAAAGGCTTAGGAAATGGACAACCAATAAAATAACAATTTACTTTTAATTGTGTTATATTAGCATGTTAAAATATTACTTAACTCAATTTATCTACCAAATGGTACTCTCCAGAAACTGTAAATAGCACTCTAGGACAGTGGTCGTCAACCTCTGGGACCTCATGAACCACCAGTGGTCCGCAGACCACCAGCTGGCGACCGCTGCTCTAGGATTCGCTTAGAGCTGGTCATCTGGGTACATCATACCAAGAGAATATAAACTTGAACTATATGTGTTATGACTACCTAAAAGACACTCTTAATATCATAATAAACTAGAATTGTGTACATAAAATTCCAACACTAAACAAGAATATCTCAGCCAATATACAAAACTATTCTATATAAGGAGGATACTCTTATTCCTATGCTGTGAAGGGCTTTCAAGTTTATGATGTAAGATTAAAGTGAGGAATAGATAATCTTAATGTAAGATTTTAAAAACTGCTGGTAAAAACTTTGATATAACAGAGACCAAGGGGCAAAGTAATGAGATCTTCTTGAATACAGATAAATTTATGGGCCATGCTAGGGAAACAAATATTCAAAATTTCAACTTCTTTGCCCTTATAGCATAGTCATTATGAGGCTCTAGACCTGATTGCCAGAGTTTGTATCCCATCACTTTCTTATTAGCTATGTGTCTTTGGGCAAATTAATTAAGCTCCTTAATTTTATTATAAGTTTCTTTATATGTAAAAGGCAGAAAATAATCATATCTACCTCATCAAGGGTGACAGGAAGATTACATGAAATAATGCATATTTCATTTATATCACTTATTAGCTAAGTAATCTTCAGTAAATAATCTCAGTGAACCTGTTTCCTCATCACTAAGATAAATTTATACTTTTCTCTTCTGCCCAATTTCTCCCTTTCTGGAAATAGCAGGAAAATACCTTACTATTAAGAGCAGCTAAAGAGGAAGTAAGAGAATATTCAATCTCATATGACTATTCAATTGCTTTAGGAAAACTGTGGGAAGGCTTTTTTTTGTTACTGAATGGGAGGACAAAATGAAAGATACCTGGGGGAACAATCTAGGGCTTTTATGGAAACTGAAATAACTATGTAAAATGTGGTAAAAAATAATAAGGAAGCGAGAGTAAGGTGAAAAATTCCCAAGTATGTTTTTTATCCTTCCTAACACTTAAGTATTTTCAAAAGGAGCATTACAACCTTTATTTAATGGCCAATGCTTATTCAGAGACCTCACATTTACATGTATAGACAGTTCTACAAAGGAGTAGACCTATAGAAATTACAGATCAAATATTAATATAACGACAATACAAATACCAACAGTTACATATATTTTTCCTTTATACAGGGGATTTTCAAGAAAATTTTGTCACCCACTTTTAGTCATTGGGATTTCATATTAGCTGCTTTAATATTTTCTCCCCAATCTATCTTGCTTTTTATTCCATTAGATTTCTCCTACCATATAGTATCATTACGGATTTCATTGACTAGTAGCTGTAATTCCAAGAGATTCTGCTAGTAGCACTGTTTTGCCCCACCTAAGGAAATACTTTTATTGTTGTTATTAATAACTTAAATATTTTTTTTATTTAAAAATATCTGCTTTAATTCTTTAATTAAATAGTACAGTTTTATGTCCTGTATTAAGGTCAAAACTTGGTCAATAACCCTGTGATGTCATTGGTGATTAAGACAACCTAATGGCTACAAGAATGAATATGTGCTACATTGTCAGTCTTAGATAATCCATCTTTAGTGCAGGTGCTTGTCATCTTAGAAAACCTTTAGATAAACAGACATACCCTTCTATCTTCCCTTTCCATAGAATCTCATTTAATTGACTAAGTTATCTGTGATGACAACAGGGACCACACTGCTAAAATGGCCTTGATAAGGGATCTGGTGAATAGTACTCAAGCTATAGAATATATTTTTCATGAACTCAAGCTATAAAACCCAAAAGCAACCAACACTGTATGCATACTCATCGTTGTCCTGTTGCTCCGACCAGCATAAAGGAAAATGAGCTCAAATTATCTAAGGCCAACAATACTATTTGAATGGAGGAATTCTCTACCTTTTTGTACCAAGATTCCGCTATCGAGATGTCTCCCAATAGTTATTTTTTATTGTGAATTTGTATGCAATACATTAGTATTGTTTAATAAAGCTTTTGATCCTAAATCTCATAGATGGCAAAGTTCACAGAGTATTATTTAGGAAGCCAAATCAATCTCTTAATATGGTTTAATGATTACTGTAATTGAGCAAAATCCTGAACAAAATATTAAACATACCCTGCTTTAAAAAATAAAAAAGGGCTTATTCAAGAATTATTCCTACACTAATATGTGCCACAAATTGACTCCAGATATTTAGATATACAGAAATTAAAGAGCAAGATTTGTAGTTCAAACTAAGTAAATTAAATTTTACTTAACTCTGATCTTAAAACTGTCAGATCTAAAATGAAATCAGCAGTAGTATTTTCAATTTAAGTTATTAATAACAACAATAAAAGTATTTCCTTAGGTGGGGCAAAACAGTGCTACTAGCAGAATCTCTTGGAATTACAGCTACTAGTCAATGAAATCCGTAATGATACTATATGGTAGGAGAAATCTAATGGAATAAAAAGCAAGATAGATTGGGGAGAAAATATTTTCAAGGTATCAGACACAGGATACAACAAAAGAAAGGTTTTATAAAACAACTGATAATACATTCCTAGTATATGACTCAAGAATTTGGTAACTTGAACTATATTTTATAACTGTAAAAGCCAAGTTAATTTTAAAATAACCTTCAAAAATGAGTATCACTACAAAACCACTACCAATCAACAATAATATGAATTCTGACCTTTGGTGTCAGCATCAGTTATTTGCTCTTTGGCAACTTCCTCTTCTTCTTCAGCTATTGCCTGGAAGATGGCAGTCAGGAAGAAAAAAAGCAATTCACATAGTGGGCCTTCACTGTCATTTCCTACAAGAGCTTCCTCTAATACTTCTGTGAATAAAATGTTTAAAATCAATTTAAAGTTCTGTTCATGTATTGAAAAAAATCAATTCCAATGGAATAATAAACATTTCAATCAACAATAGCCTACTTAACTATTTTTTAAATGCCCATTTATCAAGGTAGAACAAGTATTACCTAAGGTAAAATAAAAACCCTCAATTATAATGATTAGTATAAATTCCAATAAAATAATAAGCCCAATTCACCACATTCAAGAAAACCAAATCAGACTCAATACAATATTTCACCTAAGTTTAAACTTGAGGTGTAAATTAAGGTACATCTTAAAAATTATGATTTTCTCTAATTTGAATAGCAATATAAAGATTTGTTATTGTTACTCCACTGCTCTTGTGGGACATTAATTTTACCAAATAGTGCAAAGGATAGGTAATCATCAGCATTAGGTGTAACCCTAATATCAAATCCAAGTCACAAATGTTTCTCATCAAATTCATCTTACCTAAACCAGCATTATTTAGACCTGTAACAATGACTCATGCCACACCTAGCTCAGAAAGAGAAATTTAGGGAATGTAGAAGCCCTTGTGGAGAATACACTCTTATTGAAATACTAGAGGACTGGTGCACGAAATTCGTGCACTAGTGGGGGGGGGGGCCCCTCAGCCAAGCCTGCCCCCTCTCACAGACTGGGAAGCGGGCCTAAGCTGCAGTCTGGCCTTCCTCTGTGGGAGGTGACTGGGCTGATCAGGGGAAGGCAACAGCCCCATCACCCCGCTGCTGCTGCCACTGTTACAGTTGCCAAGGTGTTCTCATTAACACGGACACCAGTCCCTTCACCATGAGAAAATGACAACTTTCTTTAGGCACTTTCAAGATGTGTCTTTCTAGGATATGACATTTCTTTCTTTTTTATCTTCACCTGAGGATATGTTTCCACTGATTTTTAGAGAGCTTGGAAGAGAGAGGGAAAGATAAAAACATCAATGTGAGAGGGATACTTTGATTGGTTGCCTCCTGCATGAGACCTGACCTGGGCTCTGGCCAGGTAGGAGCCTAATCCTAGGTACATGCCCTTGATCAGAATCGAACCCAGACCCTGAGGTTGGCAGGCTGAGGCTCTATCCACTGAGCCAAACTGGCTAGGGCAGGATATGACATTTCTTAGCCCCTCCAGCAGCAGACCTTAGTTTTTCCTCCAGGAGTGTGGTGGAAAAACCCTAGATAACCTTCTTGCATTCTTATTACTCAAGTTACCAAGAACACTGTGAGAGGCAGCTTACAGGGAGCTTAGCCAATGAGCCTTCAGAAAAGGTGTTTCCGCCTTAACCAATTTGGCTCAGTGGATAGAGCATTGGCCTGTGGACTGAAGGGTCCCAGGTTCCATTCTGGTCAAGGGCATGTACCTTGGTTGTGGGCACATCCCCAGTAGGAGGTGTTCAGGAGGCAGCTGATCGATGTTTCTCTCTCATCAATGTTTCTAACTCTCTATCCCTCTCCCTTCCTCTCTGTGAAAACTCAATAAAATATATTAAAAAATTAATAATAAAGAAAAGGTGTTTCCTCTGCAGCTCATGCACAGAGGATCCCCTGCATTGTGTCTGCAGGGTTTCTGTCCACTGGGCTGGGGCATGGCCCAAGCCACACTGTTTGGGGGCTGGTGGGAGCATGCCCCCAGCCCAGCGGCCCCACTTTGTCAGCTGGGCTTTTGTCTGCTGGGCCGGGGCAGCTCCTGGCCCAGAGTCTGTCCGCTTGGCATGTCCCAAGCTGCTTGGCAGTGACTCAGAACTCACCCCTGCCCAGCACCCGCTGGGCTTCTGTCTGCTGGGCCGGGCTAGGAGCATGCCTGGGCCCAGCAGCCCGGTTCTGTCAGCTGGGCTGGGGGCATGTCCCAAGCCGTGCTGTGACGGCTCAGGGCATGCCCCTGGCCCCTGGCCCAGCATCCATTCTGCAGTCCTTCCTCCCTTCGAGGCCTGGGAGTGGGATGCTGGCAACTGGGTGCTGCCATCTTTGTAGCAAAGTGATGCTTAATTTGCATATTACTCTTTTATTAGATAGGAAGATTACAATTCTGTTTTTGAGGTCTTTATTTGGATCTTAAGACATTATTTTACCATTTCACAGGTAAAGATCTAAAACAGGAACCAAAACTCTACTCATTAAGTTAGCTCTTAAAAATGAAGTTCATACAAGTTAAAGAATGTAAGTACAGAGACAAAACAGAATCACAAATTAAAGGTAAGCATCAACTTGTTTTCAAATATGGCTGATATCAATTTCTTCCTTCCTTGCACTTACTTACCGGGCCACTCTCAAGTGAAGTCTATTCTCTCACCCCTTTGAATACCAGCAAGCCTGACCAATGGAATGGGGCATAAATAAGGCCTGTCAGTTCCAGGCCTTGCATTTAAGAAGGCTGGAAGTTTCTGTGTCCTGACTCTTGGAGCCCTCAATTGACACATAAGAAGTGTAGGCTACTCTGATGGAGTGGGATGCATGTGGGAGAGCGCCAAGGCACCAGACATATGTGTAAAGAAGCCATCTTGAACATGTAGCCAGGTAAGCCTTGAGATGATTCCATTTCCAGCTACTGATTGACAGTAACTAGAGAGGACTGGAGAGGTAGGTCCAGTGATTCCACAGAACTTACGAGATAAGATGAACTATAACACAGCAAAAGCACTTGCCTAGGGTTACTCCCTCAGGAAATTCATCTTGAAGATCAAAAAGTTCCCCAAATGCATTAAGAAACTCTAAAACCATCAGAGCATCACCAAAAATTTCAGGAGGTAGTCTAGTTTTCACTGGAGTTGGTTCTGGAAGTTCCTGCAAGATTAAACAATTTATGTAACTATTTGAATTAAGTGTAGGAAATTGTAAAAAGTAGATATGATATACTTTCTACCGAATAAGAATTATTACATGTAACTAGTGGTTCTCAACCCTGAATGTTTATAACAATCACCTTTAGAACTTTTAAATTTACAGATATTCTGGCCTTATTCCAACTTTATTACACCAGTTCCTAAGGATTTTTTTCTTCATCAAATTAAGAACACAACTTTAGATTTAAGTGTATTTCTGACTACATTTTCTAGTTAAGAGGAACTTTTAACCTAGATTCTGATGTCAAGACAATTGTGTCAATATTATCTTCAATATGGGATCTCCTTATGATATGGAACAGAATTAATCTGCAACCTACTGACTTAGAAATGTTTCCTTATAAACTGAGTTGAATGAGTTTGGTTTGAATATTGTGATCATTTCTGGATATGCTTTCATTGATTTTAGAGAGAGGAATGGGGGTGGAGGGAGAGAGAAAAATAAAAATGAGAAACATCAATTAGATAGATCGATTGCCTCCCACAGGCACCATGACTGGGGATCAAATCTGCAACCCTCTGATGTTCAGGATGATGCTCCAACCGAGCTACCTGGCCAGGGCATGGAAAAATATTTTTATCTAGCAATCAAGCTAAAAATGCATGTCTGGCCCCACTGGTTATTAGATTATCAAGGATCACATAAGTGACCAATTATTCTACAGAATAAAAATCATCGTCCAGCTGGTGTTGCTCAGTGGTTGAGCATCGACCTATAAACCAGGAGGTCATGGTTATGTTCCTGGTCAGGGCGCATGCCCAAGTTGCGGGCTCAATCCCTATGCAGGAGGCAGCCTATGAGTGATTTTCTCTCATAATTAATGTTTCTATCTCTCTCTCTCTCTCCCTCATTCTCTTCCTCTCTAAAATAAAAAAATATTTTAAAAAATCATTATCAAAGCTTGTTAGGAAATGCTACCTTGAAACTCTAAATATAGCATTTGCTAATATGAAGAGGTCATTATTTATAAAATAGAAATATTTCATCAACAAAACCACATAGTGCACTAACTGCTCCCCTGCCAGGCTGTTTGCCCCTAACTGCCCTCCCCTGCAGGCCTGGTCCCGATGTTTCACACAGAACATGAGTGTGTGAAACATCACGTAACAAACTTATACCTTAAGATCATCACATTCCATATCTTCTCTAGGTTTACTCCACTGTTTTAAGTGTTCCATATATTTTCGCTTTTCTTCACGTAACTTCTCTCTTTCCTAGAACAAAAGGTTAATAAAAATTCTTATAAGAACTTTATAAAGTATCATCAGTATCACTTGGATACTGGTAAAAATACAAATACTTGGACCCTACCCCAGATCCACTGAATCAAGAACTCTGGGGTTGGGCCCCAATAATAAATGTTTTAAGAAGCCTTTCTAGAAATTTTTTATGCATGCTAAAGTGTTAGAAGCACTGATCAAAACAATGCCTACCTGACATAACTGCTACAAAGATAGAAAATGTCCAACACAGTAGTGCTTGAATAAGTATTAATTCAACCGGGCTCTGCCTATAGCAGCTCTCCCAATACTTCAAATCAATTAGATCCTGACAAAGTAGGTAACAAATTATTAGAGTACCTAAAATAAAACCTCTCCTTATATTGGCAATATTCTTGTCATTTTCAAGATTCATGTAAACTTGACTGAAAGACTAGAGATACACAAACAGAGGGAGCAGTAAGTAAAAACAGTATTATTTAGAATACAGTTGGTAAATTTTCTTTTTAATATAGGCCATTTCTCTTGCTCCCTTGGGCTTTTGAAACCCTTACTTCTTGGTTCTGATATGTGAACCTGCAAAATAAATACTGACCCTAAAAAAGTCTCTCATAAATTACAGTATAAATATTTTATTGTAATTTTTCCAATAAATGTTTAATATATGTTAACATTTTCCCTTTGAAATTTAGAAACACCAAAGGTAAACAGATGTGCACTTATCAAACTTTCTACATAAAACGACTAGATTAGGGGTGTCGAACTCAATCAGAGAAGGGGCCAAAATCTAAAATCCAGCCTAAATCGCAGGCCGAATGGTTTACTGAACAGTCATAAACTGTCATTGTGATGGAAACACAGCGGAGTGCAGTGATGACAGCGCAGTGCGGGCCACATTGCAAGGCCTGGCGGGACGGATTTGGCCCGCGGGCCTTGACACATGTGGACTAGCTGGTTACAGAACTTAACTGTGCTTTGAGTAGTCTGCTGAAATAAGTCATCTTCCCACTACAATATAATTCCTATAGGATGTAATAGGATGGGTAATCTCTTTCACTATTGCTGAGTGTAAATAATACAACGTTTGCTAAACAAATACCCATGTACACGAATAGAAAGTTTTAAAAATGTTCTTAACCCTTTGACCCATTACTGTACTTCTACAAATTTATCCAGGAATATAATTCATAAAAAAATTACTTACAAATGTGAACAAATATCATTATTCATGGGCAAAAAAAAAAATAATCTACTTAACTACATCAATTTGATTAACTATTTAATATTAAGCAGTCACTAAGAATTCTACCTTACTTAATTTAATAACATGAAGAAATGTTTATAACGCTAAACAAAAAAGTATACAAAATTATAAATGCTGGATCCTTTTTTACGTCCAGTATAAAGATTAGGATAAATTAATCAAATTGTTAACAATGCTATCTCTAAAGGTTATTATTTAGATTACAAGTGTGTGTGCTTTTTGTTCTCTACCTTTTCTGGAATGAACATATTTTAGATAGCTCTAAAATGGCCTATTTGAAATAATTCATAAAACTTCAGGCAATTTAAATAAGCACTGTGTAGAACATGATTATCTAAGGCTACTTGTGAGTATCTCAGAAAACCAATGGCTAGTACTATCTTTGGAAAAAACCAGCTATCGAATTCTCTAAGGAATATCTACCAATAAAGATTATAATAAAGATTTACTGAAATGTTCTTATTATTCTTTAAGGAGAATAACAACTCTGTAATAATTCTTGTTGAGTAATAGATTTTATTGTATTTTTCTAACTATGCATTTTACTTTTAAAGGTTTGACTCATGCCTGGCCAGTGTGGCTCAGTGGTTGAGTGACACCATTCCTGGTCATGCCTCAATCCCCAGTCAGGGGGGAGGGGGAAGGAGGGTGTGGAGGAGGCAGTGGGTCAATGTTTCTCTCTCATTTTTGTTTCTATCTCTCTTTCTCACTCACTTCCTATCCGAGATCAATAAAAATCCTATATAATAAAAGGCTAATATGCAAATTGACCGAACAGCAGAATACCATTGCATGACATACACTGACCACCTGGGGGCAGACGCTCAATGCAGGAGCTGCCTGCTGGTGGTCAATGTGCTCCCGCAGGGGGAGTGCCACTCAGCCAGAAGCCAGGCTTGTGAGCAAATGCAGCAGCAGTGGCGGGAGCCTCTCACCTGTGGCAGCACTAAGGACCCCTCGGGGGATGTCCACCTGCCAGCTTGGGCCTGCTCCAGCAGGTGGACATCCCCCAAATGGGCGCAGCCCAGCTGAGGGACCCCCCTGCCCAACCAAGTGCACGAATGTTGTGCACTAGGTCTCTAGTATATTTATAAAGGTTTTACTCATTATGACCTTCTATAATTTTAAGTCTAAATTATGAAGAAAATTAACTTTAGAATTATACGCTAAAAAAAGCCGAGGTGTAAAAACATGTTATGTAAAGACATGTGTGTGTATACATACACTGAACCTTAAATAATTCATTAAAGTTTTCAAACCAAAAGGGAGATAGATCAATACTGTTTATCAGTGCTCTATATACAACTATAAATGTGAATGAAAATAGTAAAGAAACTTGAAAATTAACCAGGAATTTAAATATATAAAGCACAATTAACTATATGTACAGGGCATAGCTAATATATTTAAATGAATACCTTTTCTCTTTCTATTTTAAGCCTTTCTTTTTCTTCTTTCTTCTTTAGTCTCTCTTCTTCAACAATTTTCTTCAATTCTTCCTTCTTTTTCTCTTTATCTTCCCTTTCTTTTTTCTTTGCTTCTAGGGCATCTGCTTTTTCTCTTTTTAATTTAGCCTTTTCAAAAGCTGTGGAGAAGGTCAAAGTTAGAAGTGCACAAAGAGAAAAAGCAACGTATTTTGCAATGTAGCATAGAAATCCTGAAATAATTTAAGGTTAAGTGAGATAAGCAGAGGTACATGGGGGTATAAATTCCTGAAGGGAGCCAGCAGGTGGTTAAAACTGAAAAAGCAAGTTGGCCGGGCTTAAGATAAACTGTTGCAGCAGGACAAACATTTACCTGCTTTTAAAAGCCCTGCTACTCAAAGTGTGGTCCTAAGAGCAACAGCCAGATTATCACCTTCTTAGAAATGCAGAATCTCTTCTGTCACAAAGATCTACTAATTTAGAATCTTTGTTTGTAATAATGTTCCCAAGTGATTCATATGCACAGTCAAGTTTGGGAAGCCATGTTTTATAAGGTTGCGTGACTCAAACAAAATGGCCCCAAACAGTTTGTAAACTCTAGAAACTCTAACTTGTGCTTAATTCAGCATTAGGTCAGTTTAACATAGGATATGCTATAACTTGAAATAGATTTAAGAGGTAAGCAGAGTTCTCATTTATTATAAAAATCAATAGATACATAAAGAAAAAAACACCCCGATTTATGTTTTTTAAAGAGCCCAGAAATACGCATTTTTAGAAACATCCCCCACACTGGGCAGAAAAATACTCTTTCCTATATCTAAACAGTTTTTGGATAGAGTGTTAAAACTCACCCAGTGATTTCATTTCTTCTTGTTTCAAAAGTTTGTCTCTTTCTTTAGTAGCTTTATTCCTATAATTCGCCAGAGTCTGTTTATTAGCAAGACTGGCTTCCTAAAAAACAAACCAAGAAACTAAGGTTGTAGAACCACAACTTCTATAAACTGACAGTCTGCCTTGTTCTTACAGTAATAAAAAACAAAACATTGAATAACCCTCCTAAGTTATACTTTCTTTATACTAAAATGAGGTTTTATTAAAACATAACTGAACTTTAAAAAATATGGTATTTAGGCCTTGGCCAGTTAGCTCAGTTGACTAGAACATCATCCCAATATGCCAAGGTTGTGGGTTTGATAACCTGTCAGGATCAACAACAATCAACTAATGAATGCACAAATAAGTGGCACAACAAATCGATGTTTCTATCTCTAAAATCAATAAAAATATTTACATAAAAATACTTATTAGGATACCATTAATAACATTATATTTCAATATCTATATACTTCATTGTGTGTTTACTTATTAGGATACCACTAATAACATTATATTTCAATATCTATATACTTCATTGTGTGTTTACTTATTAGGATACCATTAATAACATTATATTTCAATATCTATATACTTCATTGTGTTTGTTACCATATATTTGACCCCCTTTACCTAATTCACTCCTGGTAATCATCATTCTGTTGTCTATGATTTTTTTTGTTTTGTTAGTTCATCGTATTTTTTGTTTTATATTCCACTTAATTCCTAAGTTTTTGTCCTTTTCCAACTGACTTATAACTGCATTTTTAGTAACCCTAATCATAGTAACATAGTAACTTTTAATAACTTTAATCATAAAGCTAATTCTATAGTCTACAAATTGGTCCAAAAATCTTCCATAAAAAACAGCTGGTGAGAGATGCAAATCAAAACAACAATGCGGTACCATCTCACACCTGTCAGAATGGCCAACATCAACAAATCAACAAATGACAAGTGTTGGCGAGGTTGCAGAGAAAAAGGAACCCTCGTGCACTGCTGGTGGGAATGCAGACTGGTGCAACCACTGTGGAGAACAGTATGGAGCTTCCTCAAAAAACTGAAAATGGCTGAAACCAGTTTGGCTCAGTGGTAGAGCGTTGGTCTGCGGACTGAAAGGTCCCAGATTTGATTCCAGTCAAGGGCATGTACCTTGGTTGTGGGCATGCCCCCGGCAGGGGGTGTGCAATAGGCAACTGGTCGATGTTTCTCTCTCATCGACTTTTCTAGCTCTCTATCTCTCTCCCTTCCTCTCTGTAAAAAATCAATAAAATATATTAAAAAACAACAACAAAAAAACCTGAAAATGGAACTCCCATTTGACCCAGTGATCCCACTCTTAGGAGTATATCCCAAGAAACTAAAAACACCAATCAGAAAGGATATATGCACCCCCACACCCCTATGTTCATAGCAGCACAATTTACAATAGCTAGGATTTGGAAACAGCCTAGGTGTCTGTCAGCAGATGATTGGATCAAAAAACTATGGCATATCTACACAATGGAATACTATGCTGCCATAAAAAATAGAATTCTCATCATTTGCAGCAACCTGGATGGAATTGGAGAACATCATGCTGAGTGAAATAAGCCAGTCAATGAAAGAGAAACACTACATAACCTCACTCATTTATGGATAATAAAGAACATTATAAACTGAAGAACCAAAAGATAGATATAGAGACAGTAAAGCAACATGCAGACTGTCAAATTACAGCGGGAGGGTTGGGAGATCTGGGGAAGATAATAGATCAACCGAAGGACTTGTACACATGCATATAAGTACAACCAATGGACACAAAACTCTGGGGAGGGGGGGGCATGTATGGGGGGGGCGATGGTATGTGTACATAGATAATAATTTAATAAAAAGAATAAAAATTTAAAAAACAAACAAAAACAATCAGCTGGTAACCTATAAAGGGAGACTTAAAAATATGCACTAGATTAAAAAAAAAATCATTATAAACTAGAGTATAGACATCAAATATGTAAGAGGCAGAGAAAAGCCATGCCAGAAACATTCTGTGGCTAATGTTAAAATATGTCAAAAGTTTATTTCTACTGTATTTCTTATGAAAATAACGTCTTTAGCCTGCTTTACTATCTCATATATTAAATACTCTTTATGTTTCAATAATATAATTTATTCCCTCTATTTCATCCTGGTTTACATTTTAGTAATTGCTTATATGCTTGCTTCCACTGTATAAAATCGCTGTGGCATGAGAGCCGTGTCTAAAATTCACACCTGAAGCTTCTACAAGCCTCACTGCTGAGCAGTCATCACCATACAGTACACACATTTTGTGTGTGTGAAGGAATGTGTTCCTTCCTACAAGCCATGGAGGTGGGGGAGCTAAACAATATTGGATTTTAAATAGTTTTATTCAGAGCTACAAGGTATTCTTTTATCTATTTTCTACTTACCTGACTAATAGATACTCGTTTGGGTGGTCTCCCTCTTCTCCTGTTAGCAGTACTAAACAGGAAGGTGGGTGGATCATCAGGGAAAAAATAAGAAAAATCTTGGTCGGCTATTTTATATGTTGAAAGAGAGGAAGCCTTCGAAAAAAAGAAAAAAGGGGGTAAAATAATATATTAGTAAACCACAAGTAGATATCTACTAACATGTCATATGACTAGCATATTAGACCAGGCCCAAAACATTAAAATTTCTTATGCTATTATGAAGTAATATATATTTCAGTTAGTTTCCTTGCTCCTTTAAAAAACTACATAACTGGCGGGGACAGGTTTGGCTCAGTGGATGGAGCGTTGGCCGGGTTTGATTCCAGTCAAGGGCATGTACCTTGGTTGCGGGCGCATCCCCAGTAGGGAGGGGGGGTGTGCAAGAGGCAGCTGATCGATGTCTCTCTCTCATCGATGTTTCTAACTCTCTATCCCTCTCTCTTCCTCTCTGTGAAAAATCAATAAAATATATTTAAAAACAAAACAAAACAAAAAAACCCTACATAATTAATTTGCTTTACTAGAAATAAAACCAAAATTGAAATACAAAAAACTCAAGAACGTTTCAACAGTTTCTTGAATTCTAAACTGTTTCAAAATTACATTTACACAAGAATAATTTTTTACTTGCTTTGCTTTTGAATAATTTTGTGGGGTTTTTTTTTTCTCTTTTTCTTTTTCTTTTTATTAATCCTCACCTGAGGATTTTTTCCCATTTATTTTCTTAGAATGGGAGTGGAAGGGAAAATGGGGAGAGAGAGAGAGAGAGAGTGAGAGAAACACTGATGTGAGAGAGATTGGTTGCCTCCTGCACATGCTTGACCAGGGCTGGGTGGAGAGGGGCATCGAACCTACAACACAAATAAGTGCTCTTGACCCTCTGGTGCATTGGCTGATGCTCTAACCATTGAGCTACACTGGTTAGGCTGTATGAGATTTTCTATGTAAATAAACAATCCATATGTTTAACATTAAAATCCACCGTATTAACCAACAAATTTTTCTTAACCATTTCCTAACTGCTAAACTTTTAACTCTCCCCTACTCAGTTTGGGGTGATTTTTATGCATCTCATTTAAAAGCAGAAATAATGACAAATTCCTATAAAGTTTCAACTCAGAATTTTAGTTTAGAGAAATCAATCAAATTTTTATCAGAAGTGGTGAGGTTCTGGAATAACTGATAAATCTGAGTTTCTCTCCTTTCACCTTGTATTCAGAACATTTTCACCTGTTTTATCCACATCCAACTCTAGATTTTTTATATTTTATTAGCAATTTTGAAGATTATTTTTTGTCTAATTGCCAAGGTCATCATTCATTCTCTCACACTGTGTGTGTGTGTGTCCTAACATATGAAAAGCAAGGCGCTGTCACAACCTAAACGACAGAACGGACGACCTAACAGGAGGCTGTATGGGGCGACCAGGCTGGCAGGGGGGACAGTGAGGGACAACCAAATGACTGGGCCCTGGACCCTAGCCAGGGTGCAGTGGCAGAAGGGAGCTCTTTTGTCACTTTGGCCCTGCGGGGGAGGCAGTTAGGGGTAACCAGGCAAGCAGAGGGGGCAGCAGGGGATGACCAGGCTGGCAGGAGCAGCAGTGAGGGGCGACCAGGCCATAATGGGGGGCAGTTGGGGACAACCAGACCAGCAAGGGAGGGGGCAGTTAGGGGCCACCAGGCTGGAAGGGGAAGGGAAGTTGGGGGCAACCAGGCCAGAAGGGGGGCAGTTAGGGGTGACCAGGCTGGCAGAGGGGTCAGTTAAGGGCAACCAGGTTGGCAGGGGGGGGGCAGTGAGGAGTGATCAGGCAAGCAGGGGGGGAGGTGCAGTAAGGAAAAATCAGGCTGGCAGGCAGGTGTGTGACTAGGAGCCAGGATTGTGAGAGGGATGTCTGACTGCCAGTTTAGGCCCAATTCCCGGGATCGGGCCTAAACTGGCAGTCGGACATCCCCCCGAAGGGTCTCAGATTGGAGAGGGTGCAGGCTGGGCTGAGGGGACCCACCCATGCACAAATCATGCACCGGGCCTCTAGTACATATATAATTGATTTTAGAGAGAGAGGAAGGGAGAGGGCTAGAAAGATACAAGCATTGATGAGAGAGACAGATCTGCTGCCTCCTGAACACCCACCATGGGGGATCAAGTCCGAAACCAGGGCGTGTGCTCTGACCAAGAATTGGACAAGTGAATGCTTGGTTCATAGGTTGATGCTAAACCACTGAACCACACCGGCCAGACAATATGTGCTATTTACAAAAATATCTTTAAGGAAATGTGTAAGAATACAATGAACATAACTTCATATTATTAACAGAAGTCTACTTCTATTGGAATTCAATTTTCTATACAGTTCGATTTTGGCTGGAACATAGCTTTTAACATCTAAAACTCAATTATTTCTGGCCATCATAAATCAAGAATCTATTAAGATTTTACACAGATTCCATTAAGATGGTTGTCTACTGTACCACTTAAATAACCCCTGAATATATAGACTTGCCCTTTAAGTGTGAATATAAAGACCATAAGAGGTTTCTTTTCAAACATATATTTTTAAAAAGTCAAAATAGGCTTTAATATATTACTAAGGTTCCTTATTCATATATACATTTTGCACAATAAACATAAATACCAATTATCTTTGTGTATTTGCAGGCATTCCTAAAATAGTCTACATTTACCACACTGAATATCACTGTGCTTTGTTGAGGGTGTGAGTGTGTATCTCTGTGTGTGCATACATGCATGTGCTTGCACCAGATCCATTAATAATCTTTATTATACTCAAAAAGAAAAATGTTTACCGTCACCTTAATTTTCATTTATTAAGTAAAGTTGGACTTCTTTCCATATTTTTTTAATGTTTATTTTCCTTGGGAAATAACTGCTGCTGTCTTTCACTACTTTTTCCAACTGGGTTGTTTTTGTTCATTGATATGTAAGAAATCTTTGTAAATTATAGAAATTGGCCAACTGGCTACTTTTAATACACATATACAACTATTCTAATAAAAGGGTAATATGCAAATTAACTGTCACTCTGCCACAAGATGGCGGTGCCCAGTCCTCCCAAAGCCCCCCAGTCCCAGGTGGTGGCTGCTGAGTGGGCAGTGTGAACAGCCTGGTGGAATGCTTGCTTCATCGCCATGGCAACGAGGCAAGCGTTCCACCCCAGCCACAGGGGGCCTCTGTGCAGCGGGCATGGAGTGGCTGGGGGCGGTGGGGGCGAACGCTTGTTTTGCTGTCCGGGCAATGAGGCAAGTGTTCTGCGCCCATCCGCAGATGGACCTCTGGGCCGCAGAGAGCCTCTGTGCAGCGGGCATGGAGTGGCTAGGCCCCACAGAGAGCTACTGCTGCAAGGATTCGTGTGTAGGGCTACTAGTCTATACTAATAATCTATCCTAATAAAAGGGTAATATTTTAGTTAGAGCAGACAAAGCTGCAGTGGCTGCGAGGGCCAAGGGCAGGTAGCCATGAGCCCGGCAGCTGGCAGTGGCAGCAGCAGCAGGGTGATGGAGGCGGCGCCTTCTCCTGATAGGCTGGTCGCCTCCCACAGAGGGAGGACATCCCTTGAGCGCTCCTGGACTGTGAGGGGGGGCAGGCCGGGCGAAAGGGCCCCCCTGCCACAGTGAACCAATTTTCTTCTGAGCCCCCAGTTCTGGAGGGGCTGCCACTGAGAGCAGGCAGCGTGAGCAGCCTGGAGGAATGCTTGCTTTGTTTGTTGCTGTGGCGATGCAGAGCCTCTGGGCAGCGGGTGCAGAGTAGGCAGGCGGGACGCTTGCTTCGTTGCTGGGCCAATGCCCCAGCTTGGAGGGCTTCAGGGGATGGGGGGCTGGCCACAGCCTCCATGGCTGAACACAACCCCGGAGAGGACAGCGGGCCACCTCCCGCAGAAGCCGCATGGCACCGCCATCTTGTGGCTGGTCACTTAGCCTTTTACCAGTGTGTGTGTGTGTGTGTGTGTGTGTGTGTGTGTGTGTGTGTATGTATATATCATACTATCCATTTCTCCCTTTTTCTTCTTTCTAACAAATAATTACACTGTTCTGATTACCTTAATTTTAATGACTCCATCTTGAGTTTCACAGTGTTGCTTTAGAAAAAGCTTTAGTTTATCACGAGAAAATAGGTGTTTTCTCCGGCTAAATGGAGGAAAAAAGCAAAGCAAAGTGTTAATTTCAAGAATTCAATCCGAACTCCATAATCTCTGTAAATCCATAACCTAAATTTCAAGCCTAGAAAATGACATTTCATTTTGTAAGAGTATTTTTGTAGAAGTAGAAATAAACTTTATACAAAAGTACTTAGCAGAATGTTCTAAGATTTACTTGATTGGATCTATTATAAAAGTCCATTAAAATAGTATATGTATTTATTGCTTAGGAACCACTTAGAAATAAACCTCAAGGCAAATATACTACGAAGAGTAAACCAAGTCTTACAAAATTAGATGATCATTTCTACAAGTAATCACCATTAAAATTCTTTAAAAAATTACAATCAGTAGGCTATCACAGTAACACTAAGTAAATCAACGTTCAGTGGATATTGTGAATAGAGTGGGACATGGGTTTTATAAAATTCTAAAATATTTTGTGTTTAAACTTCATATGGCAACCAACAAATTCATGGGATCAAAATTAAAGAGAATTAGAATTTTTAAAATTCTAATAATATACTATTTCTGATTCTCCCTTGCTCCCAAATTAAAAAAGAGTAACTATAACAGTAACAAACACCAGCACCACACAAAAACAAATGACATGCAAGTATTTCTGGAAAGTTTCTGGAAAGCAAATGATTTAATTCAATTCAATGACTTCCTATCAAGAAAAAGCCATATTAAAAGCTTCTAGCCTATATAATAAATAGTTAATATGCAAATTGACTGTCACTTCAATACACAAATGGCAGAGGAGGGCAGTTGGGAGGGACCAGGCTAGAAGAGGAGGACAGTTGGGGGCGACAAGGCCTGCAGGGGAGGGCAGTTGGGGGAGAAGGGAAACCTGGCCTACAGGGGAGGACAGTTAGAAGCAACCTGGTAGGCAGGGGAGGGCAGTTAGGGGTGACCAGGCTGGCAGGGGAGGGCAGTTAGGGGTGACCAGGCTGGCAGGGGAGGGTAGTTAGGGGCAATTGGGCCAGCAGGGAAAGGCAGTTAGGGGCAACCAGGCCTGCGGGGGAGGACAATTAGGGGCAACCAGGTTGGCAGGAGAGGGCAGTTATGGGTGACCAGGCTAGCAGGGGAGGGCAGTTAGGAGCAACTGGGTCAGCTGCAGAGCAGTTAGGCATTGCTCAGGCTGGTAGGGAGTGGTTAGGGGTGGTCAGGCTGGAAGGCAGTCGAGTGGTCGGAGCCAGCAGTCCCGGATTGTGAGAGGGATGTCCCAGATTGGAGATGTTGCAGGCTGGGCTGAGGGGAAACCCACCCCCGCACCTCACCCCGTGCACAAATTTTGTGCACTAGGCCTCTAGTGAGTAAATAAAATATTAAAAAGTTTTTAAGTAAAGGCCCCCCCCCCCCAAATATTATCATCACTTTTCTTCAAACACATGAGTATATATGGGACAACAGGGATGAGAAAATAAGAAGAAACATTTTACATCAAACAAAAATTCAAGATGGACTCCTATGTGACAAGCTGATAGTAGACTGATAATGTCAACTTATTCAGACGACTAAGAGCCTAACCTCAGCAGGCAAAAATAGGGATTTTCCCTATGTATAGTTGCTGATTCTTTTATGAAGCGTTCACTACCTTTCTTTTGATTAGTTCTCAAAGAGGAATTTTTAAAGATACTTAATTTTTATTATTTAACGTTCTAAACAAATTAATAGAGACTGTCAGATGCTTGTACCTAATGAATAAATTATTACAAATGTGACTGACATATTTGTAAGCGCATCAAATTTCTCAGCTTTGAAAATTGAGTTCTCTCATGAGAAGTACTTTATACGTAGGATCCTACATAACTTCTTAGATGTGAAGACTCTGAGATTACTTACAAATCTAAATAAAGGGCTCAATGAGTCCATTAAGATTCATTTTATCTGTCTATGAGCATATAAATGTACATTTTTAAAAAAGCAACCACTTCCAAGTTGTTTTACATAAAATCTTCTTAACCTAATTAAATTGCCATAGAGAACACACTGAATTTTACCTGATTTGTGTGGCTTTAACAATAACACATTCAAAGAATTCTTTTTTAGTGACTTGCACTTTGTACTTGAATAATAAGGGATCAATTGCATCTCTTTTCTTCCTAAAAAGAGTAGAGACAGAAATCAGTTAATAATTTCTTTGGAAAGTGGGTTTTTAAATAGAAATCTAGTTCCTAAGAACATACTATAACAGAACCTAAAATATATATATATATATATATATGTATAATATATTTTATTGATTTTTTTTTTTTTTTTTGTACAGAGAGGAAGAGAGAGGGATAGAGAGCTAGAAACATCGATGAGAGAGAATCACTGATCAGCTGCCGCTTGCACACCCCCCACTGGGGACGTGCCTGCAACCAAGGTACATGCCTTTGACCGGAACTGAACCTGGGACCTTTCAGTTCACAGGCCGACGCTCTTATCCGCTGAGCCAAACCGGTTTCGGTGAACCTAAAATATTTTTATATTTTCTTTTAATCATCACCTGAAGATTTTTTTCATTATTTTCAGAAAGGGCGTGAAAGGAGGGAGAAAGGAAGAGAGGAAGGGAAGGAGGGAAGGAGGAGGAAAGGGAAGAAGAAGAAGGGAGAGAGAACAACAACAATATGAGAGAGATACATCGATCGGTTGTCTCCTCCACTGTCCCAAACTGGGACGGGGATTGAACCAGCTACTGAAGTATGTGCCCTTGACCAGGAATGGAACCATGAAGCTGCTTTGGTCCCCGGCTCAATCCTCAATCCACTGAGAAAAAACAGGCCAGGGCTGTGTAGTTTAATTTTAACTAGGATTTTAAATGTTTCTGATATTCCTAACCATTCTATTAGTCAAAATAGTAAAAAGCACTATTTTGTTAGATAGGCACTCTAATTTCTCATTCAATAAAATTTTCCTTGGGTGAAGAAAATGTTAGAAATGACGTAGCACAAAGTACCCCGTTTAATTTAAACTAATGAACAAATAGCTCTTATATTGGCTTTTAAACTTTCTTCTTCATAGCTTTGTAATTCAAGAACAAAAGTAGAGATAATGCAGTTTATCCTATTTTAAGAATTGGCAAAGAAGTACACATTTAAAACCTCTATTCCCATCAACTTATCTTTTCTTCCTTTTGAGGGTACATTCATTCATTCATTCATTCAGTTATAAGTTTTAACATGCTACAATACAAATGTACTTTAAAAAATAATACTAAGTGAAATAAGCCAAACACCAAAGAAAAAATATTATATGATCTCATTTATATGAAAATATGTAATTAATGCCACTAAATTATACATTTTTAAATGGCAAGTGGTTATGTTAAACGTGTTCTTTCTTTCTTTCCCTCTGCCTCACCCTTTCTACCACAAAATGCTGGTGATCATTTTGAGCACCTAGGCTTATTTCCATATCCAGCTTTAGTATATCTTGAAGGTATTATGAACTATTTGATACTTTTCTAACTCAACTTCTATTTCTCCTCAATGATATAAGAATATGACTATCTACCCTTAAAGAATGTGACTGAGGAATAAATAAAACATATGTGGGTGCTGTTGCACAGTTTAACTCATGGAAAATGCCACCTACTAAAACATAAGAAAATCCAGATTATGTTTTGTTTGGAGGGATCAACCAAGAAGTAAATCACTTAAGATAGGGAATTAACAGAAATAACTCAACAGATGCTCTGGCTGGTGGTCAGAGCATTGGCCCAAGCACTAAATGATTTCAGTTCCATTCTGGAAACGGGCGAGTACCTGGGCTGCAGGTCCGATCACCTGCCCCTCTGGGCATGTGTGGGAGGCAACCAATCAATGTGTCTCTCTCACACTGATGTTTCTCTCCCTTTTTCTCTTCTTCCCTCCCTTCCATTCTCTGAAAAAAATCAATGGAAAAAACATCTTTGGGTGAGGATTAACAACAACAAAAAGAAATAGTTCAACACAGTAAAGGTCCACAGATGTCTGTGTTTCACCCTTCCTGATATCTCAGGATATAGGCATTTTATGATGTTGATGTACAGTAAAAGCTAGATTCTTTGAGAATAACAAACTGATTAAAAATCTCTACGATTAACTAATAGACCAGATTACTCATTTTTCCTATATCAAGGGTTTATTCCTATGGCTAAATCCAATTACTTTGTAATGAGCTTGTTATAAGTGGCACAAGTGAGATTGACCAATAGAAACACTCCTCTAAATGCTACATATAACAGGCAAAATATTCACTTACTAATTGGGATTCTGAATTAATTTGCTTTGTACTCAAGGTAAGAAATTAGCCACAAAATATGTAGGTAGCTCTTATTCAAATCTAAAAAGAAGGGAAAGGACATTAATGCACCGAATAAGAGAGTGCTAAACCTAAGAAGCTAGACATTCCTCATCTCAATACATGTAAAAGATTTAGAAGAGAATATTAAAAGTTACTATTAAATAATCTTAAATAAATTATTTTAAAAAGAAAAAAATAAATAAATGCTTACCATATTTATTCATCAATTTAAAAAAATATCTTTTACATATAAAATCTGTATTTAACTGTTCAAGACTTATCTAATATATAATTAAATCTAAGGGTTACAATCCTTGCTATAGTCCAAAAAAAAATCACATGAACTATTGTACAATCAGAGTTGCTAAAGAACATACATTAACTACCACAATATCCACTAATGTTGCATGCCAAACTATGTATTCAATAAGACACACAGACAAGTGACCTATTAATTTCTTTTTCTGCTTAATAACAGAAACTTAAGGGGGAAAAATGAGATTTAGCAAAAGACTTATTATATAGGACTAAATAATGTTTCATTCACTCATTCCAAAATAATTTTTTTCTGTCACTGTATTAGTTAGATGACCTCGTGCAAAGCCAATTAACCTTTCTAAGGCTCAGATTCTTGTTAAGTAAAAATAATAATTCTCTTTCAGAACTATGCAAATCAAACACTTAGCACAGTGCCATGACATGTTCAAATTCTAGCTACGGATACAATAATTCAAGTCAGATAAAACAAGAACTTGAATTAGAAGGCTTTGTATACTAATACTATCACTAGTATTTTCAGGAACAAAGGAGTTAAAGGAAGTACTTAAGAGTGGCCTCAGGTTTCTTATTTGATTGTGGTACTATTCACTGAAAAGAGGAAAGAAGAAGATAAGACAGGCTGGAGAAAACTTTTTTAAGTCTGAGATTCCTAAAAGGTAGGGAGGGACAGAATGAAGCAGTGAAGAATTAGGTAGTTGTAGAGAACAGGAGGGAGCTGAGCTAAAACACTTAAACATACTCTTAATCAATTGAGGATTTTGCAGAGATTTTAAATTTACCTGCAAGGATTGCTAATCTAGATGTGTTTGTGTGCTTTTTCTCCAAGAGCACTCAGCTGAATAAGGCTGCCAAATGAATGCATTTCAGAAGGTTACAGAATTTCTTTACCACATGTATCATAAAGTGAGGAAGTCTAATAAAATACAGAATGAATTTTCCAAAGTAAACAAAAGCGGAATTTGTAAATATCTATAATTGAATGAGATAAGCTTTAATTGCTCTTAAACTGCTAACAGTTTTACAAACTCTAACATGTTGTAGAACCACATTCTTAGCTGAATAGCATACCACAGTGTGACTAGAAAAGAAGGGAGAGATGAAAGAAAAAATGGTTTTCAATGGTATGTCATTAGCCAATCTGATATACATTTTTAAATGAATAAAAATCACTTACCCATTTTGAAAAGAACTGTTTTGTGTTTCTGAATCATCACTATCACTGATAATAATAGTTTCTCCATCTACACTACTGACATGTCCATTAGAAAAACCATTCTGATGTGATGGAGGGAGGACTTCCAAAATCCTACACTGTAACCTGAAAGAAAATGATATATTTAAAAATGTAAATCATTTGACATTTTAAAATCAAACATTTCAAATGATCTAATTATTGTGAATTGAAAAGTTATTTTGTTTTATGGAAACTATGACTGACTGATGTAACTAATTTTACAAAAAAGAAACATCTGTAATATCAATTTAAGCAAAGGTTGGCTATAAACCTACATAATAAAAGGCTAATATGCAAACCGACCAAATGGTGGAACCATCAGTCGTGATGCTGCACACTGACCACTGGGGGGCAGACGCTCAATGCAGGAGCTGCCCCCTGGTGGTCAGTGCGCCAGAAGCTGGGTTCACAGGCCTAAGCTGTCAGTTGGGCATCCCCCAAGGGCTCCCAGACTGCGAGAGGGTGCAGACTGTGCTGAGGGATCCCCTCCAGTTCACTAATTTCGTGCACAGGGCCTCTAATTTAAAATAATACAAAACTATTTCAAAGGTCAATTTATCAAGACTCTTTGGCAATTTTATTTTTAAAGTTACTATTTAGAAAATCAAATTCATAATATCTCATTATACAGATTGAGCCTTAAGAGTTTTTCAAAGCCTCCAATATTTTCAGTTCTGAAAATTTCCTGATCACAATATTTTTCATTCTCATTCTAACATTTTTAAAAAAAGCATTTTGATTTTTAGAGAGAGAAGAAAGGAAGGGGAAGGGAGGGGAAAGAGATAAACATTTGTTGGTCCACTTACTTATTATGCATCCATTGGTTGATGCTTTTATTTTGGTTAATCCTCACTAGAGGATTTTTTTAGAGAGAGTGGAAATGAGGGAGGGGCGAGAGAATGAGAGAGAGAAACACAGCCTGGGTCAGGCAGGGATTGGGTCTGCTACCCAGGTATCCTTGACTGGGAATCAAACCCAGACTCTTGGATCCAAGGGCCAATACTCTAACCATCAAGCAAACTGGCCAGGATGATTGGTCAGTTGTGCCCTGACTGGGGATTAAACCCACAACCTTGGCAAATCCGGATGATGCTCTAACCAACAGCTATGGCTCCGGAGCCTCATTGAAACTTTTGTGATTTCTGATTTCTGGAAAGCTTCCTATTCACTAACTTTATTATCCTTATTTTGGCTTCCCTTACCTTTGCCCACTCTATCTGGGTTTTATGCGCTGCAGTTTCAGACTCATTCATCACAATAAAAATATTCCTCAATCCTATTTTACTGTGCCAATTTTCAACTGAAATAATTAAAATGTGGTAATATATTCATACAAAGGAAAAAACATAGAAATAAAGTACTGATAACATGCTACAGTAGGATAAACCTTGAAAGCAATATGCTAAATCAGTGTTTCCCAAAGTGTGGTACGTGTACCCCCAGGGGTACGGGAAGAGTTTGGTGGGGGTACGTGTTGCACCGGAGTTTGGTGGGGATATGCACTGCACCGTGCTTAGCTGCGCCTAATTCTACATCCTCATGAGTACAAGGGGTATTCAGCGTTACGAAAATTATAGAAGGGGTACACATATGTCAAAAGTTTGGGAAACACGCCGAAACCAGTTTGGCTCAGTGGATAGAGCGTCGGTCTGCGGACTGAAAGGTCCCAGGTTCAATTCTGGTCAAGGGCATGTACCTTGGTTGCGGGCACATCCCCATTAGGGGGTGTGCAAGAGGCAGCTGATCAATGATTCTTTCTCATCGATGTTTCTAACTCTCTATCCCTCTCTCTTCCTCTCTGTAAAAAGTCAATTAAAAAAAAAAAAGTTTGGGAAACATTGTTAAAATGAAAGAAAACACGTAAAAGGGCACACATAGTACATGATCCCATTTATATGAAAAATCAAACAAAATAAAACTAGAATAGGAAAATCCACTGAGACAGGAAGTAGATGAGTGGTTGCCAGGAACTTGGGGGAATGAGGAGTAAGAGATGAGAACAAAGGGCAGAGGCTTCTAATGGGCCTGGGCTTTCCTTTTGGGACATAGAAAATGTTCTACAATTAGTTTTTGGTGAGGTTGTGCAACTCTATGAATATACTAAAAACTATTGAACTATACATTTTAAATGCAAAAATTTTATGGTATGTGGAATACATCTCAACTTGTTAAATAAACATAGTCACAAGTAAAAGCAGGATATAGTAAGGAGAGGGAGAAAACTCGTGCATTGCTGGAATTGTATCTATGGCACTTCTACAACTCTTAGGCAATTCAGAGGTTTTATTAATATCTTAAGCACGTATACTAGTATATTACCAATGGGTAAATCTCTATTTTCTAGAGAAAAAAGTAGCTCAAGAATAGAAAAGTTGCTCACTGCATCATTAATTTAGTCATCTCATGCCATAAAAAAGTTTGATGTATTACTATTGTGGGCCTTCACCAGCCCTTCTCCTGAACTTCATTCTTCCCACACCCCACCTTCTTCCATATAGTAGCTACTAGTAGAGCTGTCATATTCTCACTAGACCCTGGTCATAGTTAATACTGGGTGGGCACCTTTAGCTGAGCCAGTACATCTTTTCTAAGATTTTAAAATCTGGAATCTAGAAAGTAAAAATCAGTTCCCCTGCCATCATGGAACCTATAAATTTCTGGTCCTGTGGGCACCTAGGGTCCCTGCCATATGGAGTGGGCCAGTATGCAGTGAGAGAAAAGAAAGCCTACGAAGAAGAGAGGTACTAGCAAAGAAAGTACTAGAAGAGAGGAATAGCAAAGGTACTACTATTCTCTTTATTAGATAGGACTAGACGCCCAGTGCACAAAATTCATGCACAGAGGGGGGTGTCCCTCAGCCCAGCCTGCACCCTCTCCAATCTGGGACCCCTTGAGGGAAGTCTGACTACCCGCCAGACAGTCGGACATCCCTTTCACAATCCAGGACTGCTGGCTTCCAACTGCTCACCTGCCTGCCTGATTCCCCCAACTGCTCTGCCTGCCAATGTGATCACCGCTTAACCACTCCCTGCCAGCCTGATTGATGCCTAACTGCCCTCCCCTGCAGGCCTGACTGCCCACAACTGCCCTCCCCTGCAGGCCATCTTGTAGCAGCCATTTTTGACCACATGGGGGCAGCCAATTTGTGTGTTGGAGTGATCAATTTGCATATTAACTCTTTATTAGGTAGGATAAAGTGAAATTAAATTTAGATGCCTTAAATTTGCTTATATAGTGTTTATTAGATTATATATAAAAGTGGGATGTTTTAAAAAACAATTGCATCTTTCAAAGTCTCTCAAATTGTTAACTGTGGGGTTTCCTTTCAGAGTTTCAAACAGGGAAATTTGATTCCAAGCAACAGTGGCTTAGGCAGCTATTAGAGCCCCACATCACTACTGGCATCTCTCAAAGCAACCACCAAACCAAACAAAAAGCCCTAACTGCATGGCCCTCAGTGAACACATCCAAATACTTACAATATACAACAAATGACAACATTTAGCTTTTAAAAATTCACATTCATCATGTCATTTCATCCCATGAGGCAATTTAACAGATAAAAAAACTAAAGCTTAGAGTTTAAATTACTTGCTCAGAGCCACAAAGCTAATCATAAAGGGTAGAATCTAAACCAAGGAGACAGTGATAAATTGAAAGAAATGATTTTGTAAATCAGCCATATCTGAATTTAAATCCTACCACTGACTACTTGTAAAAAGCTGGAATAGAAGCTCCATGACTTTTTTTCACTGCTATTGTATATCTCCAGTGTCTAGAACAGTGCAAGTAAATAGCAAAACAGTAAATATAGATTGAACAATTAAAAAAATATTTAACTTCTTTAGATCTGTTTTCTCATCTGTAAATGAAACAGTAAATTTTTGCCTTATCTCTGCTAATATAATGTGTACACAAAGTATCTGTAGCTAGTTAAGAATTAATAGACCCGACTCCAAGTTTAATATTATTTTCACAAGAACACCACCCATCTTCTCACTTCTCCTGTAGGCTCTAAGAAGTAGCAGAGAATGAATGTCAGCATGATTGGCAGGCATGCTGGGTGTTCATCAGGATGGGGTGAATAAAGAACTAAACTGTTGATTCAGTCAAGTAGTCAGTTGTTCTCTTTACTACCTCTGTCATAGCAATGACAAAGGATCTAGAAGAATCTGTTAACTGATTGCTTATTTTAAATCATTAAGTCTTAATGGGGAGGGAAGCACCTAATCTATACTTGTGAGATGAAAAAGAAAATGGGGAGGAATACCTAAAAGTAATGAGATACTAAGAAAAGAATACTGAGGGGAGAAGATCCAGAGAACCTATACTAATTCACCCCATCCCGTTCCTTTGTAACTTGACATATTCTTTCCAGTAACTCTCATGTTAATGGATGAAGCAGTCTTTAGGACCACTGGTAAGTACTATCAAAGAGATAGAAACAAAAGGTAGATGGTAATGACAAGCAGAAACGAAAGTTAAAAGTAAAGAGAAATGCCGCTACAAATGGTACTATCAAGAAAGTGAAAAGGCAATTTCAAAAATTGAATAAATCATACATCTGCTCATTAGTATAAAAAAACAAGGAACACTTACAATTATGTAATAAAAATATAAATAACCCATTTTAAAAGGGCAAAGGGCCTGACCAGCATGGCTCAGTGGTTGAGCATCGACCTATGAACCAGAAGGTCACGATTCGATTCCCAGTCAGGGCACATGTCTGGGTTGTAGACTTGAACCCCGTAGGAGGCATGCAGGTGCTGATCCATGATTCTCTGTCATCATTGATGTTTCTATCTCTCTCTCCCTCTCCCTTCCACTCTGAAATCAATAAAAATATTTTTTAATGGGCAAAGGATCAGAATAGACATTTCTCCAAAGAATATATTCAAATGATCAGTAAGTACATGAAATGATACTCAACATAATTAGTTATTAGGGAAATGTAAATCAAAACTACAATGAGATACCACTTCATACTCACTAGGATGGCAAAATAAAAAAGATGCACAATACCAAATTGTCCATATATATGACTTGGTGAGGATATGGAGAAACTAGAATCCTCATATGTTGCA